GCGCATAGATCATCGCACAGCCCTACAAACCATAGGGGGCGCGCGCGCGTGTACCAGGAGATTTTGGTCGATGCAATCTTCTCGGCGCACTCTGATGGCCTAATGGTCATCCTACGGGAATCTACATCTTCATCCAAGGCGGCCGCTTCTACGCGAGGTTGACGTCGTCTGCGCGGTCCATGAATTCACTTTGAAAACATTCCGCTCGAGTTTGTCCAATTTGGGGCCCAGGTTGTGTTGCTACGAGTTTCCTATTTCTCTGCTCTTGACCCATTTGCGTGTGCTCCAGGCTCAGCTGCCTGGATTGTTGTGTCTCGCATCCTGCTGTCCGCTGTCTCTCTGCCTCATATTATGAAAATCTTTACGACCTGAAACACGTTGAATATACCCTCGTCGCTTTTGTCTTTGGATAGCGCTGTATCATATGGTGTAATGGATCGTTCACTTGTGCAACAGTCCTCCGATTGCGGGTTCCTTGTGTGGATTATTCTCAACGTCACGCGCCAGCCCTTCCCGCTATGGTGGATAGGTTTGGATATGACGAGACATAACGCCCGGGTACGGTCATGAGGTGATATACGGCCTCGTGTTTACGACAAGTGTAGTAAGTTGATTTTCTTGGACGGCCAGGTCCGTCGCCTTCTAAGGCCACGTTAGCCGTTTTCGCTGATTCTATAAGGCTCGATAGACGGTCTAGTCTCACCGTTCGACCGCATGCTGCGATGGACGTTGACATCCAGATAGACGACTATTCAGGTTTCACCACGCGGTCAAATTTGACGTCGTGAGCCTCCCTCATGGTTATCCGATGTCATCTTTTCTGTTCTCCTTTGGACACGTCTCGAACTTGAATCCGAAAGAGCGCGGCTAGTTTAATGATCCAATGACCAACCTACCGGAGTGTTATCGCTCAGCGGGTATGGTACGTCCGCGGTCCGGTCGTCTATCCCGCCTTTGTTATCTCCATAATTAAAACCTGCCCCTCCATCGTAGGGCGCAACGGTGGCGATATTTGGGATGTCCATTCCCTGATGCCAACAGCCCACCGCGCTGAAACAATGCAAGTTGAAACTGGCAGCGTTGACAGAACGGTGCTGCTGCCGCTTTATTGAGCTCGTACCGTGCAAGGCTGTACTCGAGAAACGTACGTTACCTTGACATAACCTCACGCCCTCATGATAACATTGTGACGTGTCTCGTCCACATTTGTGGGCGTTTGGATGTCCCATGCCGGAATATCGACCTCCTGGTAACCAGCCGCCCTCGTACTATACTGCAACGTGTCATACATTGCCCATTGCGACCTTGTGGATGACGGAAAGGCCCCCTCATGACGCCTGCGATACTCACGAAATGGGCTATGCTAGCGGCATACGGTCCTGCCTGAATTTCGCCGGTCGGTCTCCGATTTACATGCCAATATCCGGATTAAAATTTCTGTCTAGCGTCAGTGTGGCGTCTTGCTCATCGCGGTTCTCTAGCCCGGAAGTATTAGCGGGGCAGCTCGCGCTGGCTGAGGCGCTACGAGGGGGCGCCAGAATGACGACAGACCCAATGGACAGACGCACTGGTCCAGGTGCCCTATCGTTCGCCCAGTAACTAGGTCAATCGAGATGCAGGTCTTTGTCCGGAACAGCCCGCACGCGCGGTGTGCGAATACATTCGACAAGATCTGAGTGTATCTCACGACAATATGGAATTCGGATCGCATTTAATCATGAGACTGTCGCGAGATTTGGCCTGGAAACAAAATTGGGGCGGCCATCCGAGGTTTGAATCCAATAGATCAAAGTATGGGAAGGTGAAAGAAGCTTTCGGGCGAATTGTGAATACGTACGTATTAGCCCAAACACGTAGCGCGCGGTTGATGGGTCCCTAAATAGCCCTGAAGAACAGGCGCGCGCATGGGAGAGCATCTGACGTACATCGAACGACAGGAACACTGATGCAGGCTGCAAGATGTTCGGTCCTTCGCAAATCTTGGGATTATGAAAGACAGAGGCGAACCGGTTAGAATACACAACACACTCAGACCAGAACATCACCTAGCTTCAAGAAGATCATATCTCCACATGCTCGAGCCCCCATTCATTAACGCCGTCAATAGAGTACGAACTTTGAGCCCCAAAATATACGCGCGCAGTGAAACCTGATACTATGATAAAATGTAATCCTCGTGTTGATTGTAGGAGCAACGGCCCTTAATAATCATGAACTTTCCGTATATGAAGATACAACTGCGGCCCCTCGTGTTCGCGTCCTATAATCTTGGGCTTTATCGTATTTCCACCAGTCCTGTAAAACATATATTGCTGATCGTCTGGTTCAAATATTAGATCTCGGATGAGTGCGGTCAGGACAATCTGTGTGTCCGTTAAGTGAAGCGCAAAATGAATTGAGTTGCTAAGATTGACCTTGATCTCTGCTACAGCTATAAGGATCCCTTCATCAGCATGCCTGCCAGCTGACTCGTGTAAGTTCAAATGTCTTACCGAAGTGACGACCAAGGCAGGTCTTCGCCCTGTAAGATGCGATGTCAGTGTCTCGAACATGCTGTACACCAGAGTATAGACCGTTCACGTACCCATCGCCGAAAGTCAGAAAATGGCCCGGAGCATGTATATCTTTCACTGTCTCCGGTAGGCCACCCGGTTCCAACCATCGCTCTGGTCTGAAAATCGCAGCATCTGGGCCCCATATGCGCGCGTCAACGTTGATCCCGTCGCGCACAGGCACGAGGACAATCTGCCCAGGCTTCACGGCGATTTGAGTCCGGCTAGTGCCTGGGATAGGGAACTGAAGCGCAAGAACATCTTCTTTGACAGCCTGCCAGCGCAGATTAGGTACATTCTCATAGCCACGCATAAACGCGAGGAACAGTGACACGTACCTCGCGGGCAATTGTGGTTAAGACAGCCTTAGTTCGCAACGATTCACGGACGACAGCATCAAGGAAAGGCAGCTGGGTTGCGTTCACGAGATCGTCGCATGTGGGCTCGCGTCCCGTTCTCTCACAGAACGCCTCGATTTCGTTGCGCAACTGGGTCTGCATATTTGGACTGCGTGATAGTTCGTAGAGGGTCTCCTACAAGAAAACGCATGACTACACCGTCACGGTAATAGAGGATTACAGCATATTCTCACAATTATGACATTCGCAGTAGTCTCATAACCAGCAAAAATTACCCCAATGATCTACCAATTGAATGTCAAGTGGTATCAGAATTCGAACAATAATTGCGACATACCGTGGCAATAGCTTGTTCTCTGTCCAATGGCTCTCCTGTGCGCTTATAACTATCATCTATCGGATAGCATACGTGAATAAATTGGCAGCTGATAAGGTCTGAAACGACATACTCATGGAGTCCAGAAGCTTCGAATGCATGCCTAGCCCACGTTCCTCAACGTTTTGCGTCCACACAATGTCCGCTATCTTGCCGAGTTCTGTCCTGAGCATGGTTGTCCACTGCTTCATTGGGTTTGGGAGATATAACAGGCTGGGAAACAAGGTGATGAGCGACATGGCGATGAGTGTGCCGGTCGTCTCTGGGACATCCGATATCTTGGCAATAAGATTCGGAATAGATTGATCAGAATTTCCAACGTCGTACGCAAAAGTAGTCATGCTGATCGCGTCGAGCCTGTATGGGGGGCGGTCAAATCTGACCATGTGTGTGTGAATGAGTGTTCGAAATACACACGTTAAGCGAGGAATCCTGGAAGTCAACTCGAAGATCTTCCCGGACTTGTTCTCTTCCCGTTCAAGCTCATCCACAAATGAGCCCGTCAACTGAGTTATCGTGTTCTGAGTATATGTGTAAATTCGGTGATGGCAGGCGACTTACGTTCCGAGCCAGATCAAAAATTACATGGGACACTTCGCGGACAGTAGCAGGACTGTTGGAGAAGAGTCAGCGCAACCACATGCCTGTTAAAGAGCAGTCACGAACGTAAATGCCGGGTTTACAATGGCTCGCTGCTTCCGGTGCTCATCACCTATACGTGTACAACACAAGATGAGTCGCGTGCCATCTGCATCCCAGATGGCCAAAGTCTCTTGCCTTCAGCGCTGAAGAGCCCTTTCCCAAACTATTCAAACATGAGCCTGCTACGGTCACACATCCCACTTCGAACTTACGAACTGTTCGAGACTAATAGTGTCGTCTCCAGGCCTGACATAGTTGTCAGAGTGCAGGACATGGCTTGCAGCCTTCGGATCACCGGTAATTAGATACGATGTCTGCGCGTCGATGTGGATAAGAGTACTGTGTCGAAACGGACTCAACTACAAGCTTACTCCCAGAGGTCCCTTGAGCTTATAAGTAGGACCGTACGTCTCCGCCCATTGGTTGTGTAACTTGCCTGCCGGAGAGGTCTGTATTTCCATCTCGTGACCGAACAACCAGCTCTGTGGACGAGGACCTGGCAAATCGCCTAGAGTGTACATGCGGGAGATGGATCTGATGATTTTCACAATCAGCAACGCCAATCCAAGAGCGACAGCAGGCTGGCGATGGGACCATGCTGAGATGACATCGAAAGGGTACATGATAAATGCTGTCTGTCGGAGACGACTCCTATGAAGGTTGACTTCAAGCCGAAGTTGAAGCTCGGACGGGCTGGGTCGACGTCAACGTTCAGCGAGTGATGCGACATTATCGAAACATGTAACACATCATGTTGCGGCCGCCAAACGCGGAAACAGGCTGGCTCAATGCGGTGCTCTATACATTCAATTGCAGTACCCGCCATGGGCGCTGGAACTTCGCGCGAGGTTGTGGTACTTAAGTAGCATACTTAGGGTGGCATGCACAAGCACGATTAGTCCGACTTTTCCCCAAGTTCTTCAGCTCCTTCAAGGCTCACAGCTGGTGAAGACAAAATAGGTCCCTTGTATCGGATTACGAATACATAGGCAACAATACCTTGTGCTAAGATTACAACTGGTATACTATGCGCAAGGAATTTTAGCTTTCTATGACTGTTCAAACAGATCGTGTATGGAGTGCTTCGTCCTTCAGGGTCAAGGACGAGTTCACCGCGCTCATATCGGGTGTGTCATCGAACGTGACCGGAAGCGTAGCTTTTCGCTCGCGAAGGGATATGATGCTGGCAAACTGCATCGTTTCCAGAGGTGCAGTGCGTGAATCTTCTGTGGTGGCGCCCAGATTGAATCGAGGCCTGCTAATTTGGCTCCTTGTGAGGCGGGAATGGACATCATTGGTCGTGATCTCGAGACCAGCGAGAACGATTATCATCGTCGGAACAATGCCCTGCATGATTCGAGCTGTAATCATTATCGTCAACAGTATTTGTGTCCCCACTCACAGTAAGTTGCCCTATAGGATCGTATATGATGTAGAAGGAGTTGAGGCCCATGAAGTAGAGAGTAACTTCGCAAATGAGGGCAACGGAATAAATCATGCCAGATTCTATAACTATTAGCATGATTCTCCAATACCGAAAGTTGGCGATTCCATCGCTCAGGCGCAGCATGTACCTTGATTAACTATTAAGACATGGGGCTATTGGGACAAGGAACAGTGGTGCATACCAGGCACGAAGCCCAACGAGTGCAGTGACAACAACATTTGTCGTGAGAGATAGACTAAAAAGGGAACCATTCCATATTACCAATGGAAGCGCAAAAGCACTGTGATATTGCTGCCCTCTTGCAAAAAAGACGGTTTGACCGAAACCGCATACTGCAAAAATTGTCAAACATATGCAGATGCACTGGATGAGGTGACACACTAGCTGAACCCATAACAAGCAGGATGGGAAGCGCGCACATCTTCCAGTCCCTGCCCCACACGAGATAGCATCGCCAGACCTGTGAGATGTAGCAACACGTTCGATATATTTCATAACACAGATGTGAAACCAGACGTACCACTACGCTATCACCCACGATCGACTGCGATCGGCATTTGAGTCAAGATTACCTGAAACACGAGCGGGGTAACTCACGTTTACGGTATGTATCCCGACTTTGGCCACATTTGCGGGAATCGAGACGTCTGAGAAGAAGGCCGCTGGACCTCCGGGTTCATCACGAAGTACGATGAAGCCCATGATGAGACGGTAGAAGCCCAGGAAGACGTGGCAAGTAGAAAAGCAGAACATGGTCACGGCGATACCGACAAGTATCTTGTTGACCTTTGGCGTCCGTCGGTGAATGATCAATACGAAAAGGCACGAAAAGAAGAGAACGATGTTCATGCCTGTATTTTAAATTTGCTGAGCCCTCAGGACCGACGCCTTGGTAAGCTGCAATATAGATGACGCACCATAAAAGAGTGTCTCGAGCCATATTGCCGCCAAGTACGCTCTATCGAGGGCAATGTCTGTGGCCATACATGCGAAACTGCAGCGCGGGAGGTGAGCAGGAGCAGGAGGGGGCTCGCCGCAGGGCACATGTCTTCCTCAAAAGCACATTGCGGTGAGAACTTCTACGCCATCCAGGAAGTAAGGAATAAGCAGTGGAGCCGTAAAGTGCAACCGGTGAGCTTCCAATGCGCGGCAATCGACCCAACGTGATCTTTCTCTACGCGCTCGTACTACTTTGTCCCGTCCCCTTGCTCCCGCCTTGCCACTATGTGATCGGATACTCCCCAAGGCCTGTATGTATCATTCCATGAGGAATTATGAGGATGAAGCAGGTAGCAGAATAGAAAATGAGTCGGCCTGCAGGCCCGGGAAAGTCCTAGTGGATAGCCAGCGGAACTACTACGGCCCTCTCAAGTAGATCAGTGCCAGCACTGACTGGCCCCGGAGTGTTCACATCTGTCAACGCATTTGCCATTGTGGTGCCGAGAGCCAACATAAGTTCGCAACAACACACGATGTCCATCTGCCAACAGGACCGTTCAGGGTTCCAACTGGGAAGACTTAGGTTTATGCCGGCCGAATGTCTGACCAATGAATGTCTTGAAAAGTGTTAAGTGCCGCCCGGGACCACTCCTGCCCGTGACCGTGTTGCTCACGTGGTCGACGCGTTCGCCACCGCCGCCGTTATACCTTCTTGCGATGAGCTACACGCGTCATCCCAGCTTGTCGCTTACAGAAACGAGCTTTGGGAGATGCCAGATACATCTTCACCACTACGAGATGTGGATACGTCATTGCCCTCTTCAAGTTCACACTCGGGGCCTGAATCACTCGATACAATATTCATCAAGAACACTAGCATTTCCAAGGCCTGCTGGAAGTGTGTGGCAACGGGTTCCTCCATATCTCCAGCTGATTTCTGTCTTTTTATCTTAGGATTCTCACCACAAGTGTGTTTTGTAGCTGGACACATATGTTGCCTCGGGCGTTAACCTTATCGCTAGCATTTGGTCACACAGAGTATAAAGGGAAACAGAAGGAGGTTGTAGAGGCTGCGGTACAAGGTATGAACCTATATATGACATTAAAATAAGCCTGGATCTTACGATGTTCTCTTGCTTAAATTCGCAGGCCTCGATGTTTTTGTCCTAGCACCAACGGGAATGGGAAAGGTGGTGTAGCCCATCTGTGTAGCACTGTCCACTTAATCTAGATCGGCATTGTAGAGTCTGTGCTTCCAGGTACCTGCACTTGCTGCTCGAGTATGCCCACCTCATTACGATGCCCGCTAGGCTGCTGACAAGTGCTTAGCATGGCGTTACAGTGGTAGTCTCTCCACTTCTTGGTATGCAAATGCCGACACAATCGCATTTCACTACCTGATCTCCCTTGTCCATAAATGTTAGCGCTGATGAAGAATCGTGGGTTATTCCTCACTAAAGTTGTGTGTAAGCTCACATAGTCTTGTTTCTTCAGAGGTTGCCAAGTTGCGCAGCGTCTATGTCTCTGTGGCCGCAATCACATCCGAGACTTCCCATGAGGACAGAATATATGTACGTAACTTAGGCAGGTTAAGCTTGATGGAAATAGATCAACTAGCACCAACAGATTCTCGAAGACCTCAACTCGGGCCATCCAGAGATCCGCCTTCTTTATGGTAAATAACATCATCCATGTATGCGCTCAGCGATGCTCAGAATTAGCATTTAGTCAGCCCAGAGAAATTTTGTACCCCCGAGTTCAATAAGCTTCTCGGCAGACTCGATGAGCGGGCTCAACTCAACCGGCTCGTTGTGGATGAGGTAGTCATCCTCTCATATTTCAGATTTTTATGCACTTAAAACTAATATTCCAGGCTCATTGTATATCGGTGTGTGCGCAAGAAATGATATTTGAGACTATCGTGAGACATTTCATGATAGGAATGGGGGCATGATTTTCGTGAAGAGTACCGACGTCTTGGGTCGTTCCGAGATAGATTTCCTTATATCCCCATTATGGCCTTGACGGCTACAGCAACCCCTGTGTCAGTATTCTGGCGATTCACCTATCTCTCGTCGCGCTCACAAACATCAACTGGCCAGCGTGCAAGAAGACATTGTTAGAAGCTTGCACATGCCCCGGGAACGCCTTTTCAAAGTCGTCCATCCGTTCAACAGAGCGAATCTCTTCTATGAAGTATATATTCATGACCATATGCAGTAGCATACTGACTATCTTCATGAAAAGGTCCGCTACCTGTCGTCTGCAGATCCAGCTGCACATATGGTGGACATATTTGATTACATTAGCAATTTGCATCATAGACGAGGACGTCCCTCTTCTGGCATCATCTACTGTCGCACTCGTGCGACGTGTGACAATCTTGCTCATTATCTCCGAGGCAAAGGGCTCAATGCGCGCCCATATCATCGAGGTATAGGGTAGGTTGCATCGTATTCTGACTAGAGAATCGCTGACTCATTCTGCATCTAGTTCTATTGTCCTCGACAGGACACTAGCCGAGTGGGAACGGGGTGGTTCAGGGCAAGGTGGCATTGACGTTGTGAGATTCCTTTTACAAGTTACATCGGTTCTGCCGTGTTCATTGGCCGTGACACAGGTTTGCGCTACTATAGCGTTTGGAATGGGGATCGACAAGGCTGATGTTCGGTAAGTACATGCAAACTGCGCAATGTATGCTGTATAACCAATCGCTACCAGGTACATTTTGCATTATGATCTCCCCAAGAGTTTTGAAGGTAAGTCAATCGTCTTGAAGGCCATGCGACTCAGAATACGAGTCTTCCGCTTGACAGGATACTATCAAGAAACAGGTGAGCCATCTGTCTGTCGGATGGTGACAGTGATTGACACCGTTCACAAGGCCGAGGAGGACGCGACGGCTTGGTTAGTATGGAGGATACAACATCTGCTCTCTGGCTAATGAATCAATGTTAGCCATCAAAGTGCATCTTGTTCTATTGTAAGTTGCTCGGTTCAGCTTGCGGAACGGCTTCTCGGAACACTTTATAGCAAGAGAAGACGTGATCAGAGTTCGTAATTGGGTTTCTGGCTCGCATGCAAAACGTTTAGAGCGAGCGGAGTCGCTAGAAGGCCCCATGCCGAGCCAGCGTGCCGTGGATAGTCTCACTGCGGTGCGTTCTCTCAGTATAGTTACGTAGTAGTGCAGAAATTCACACCTACGTTACAGTTGATCAACTTTGCGGAAGGCGTAAATGTTTGTCGCCATATCGTGAGTGCTGGATGATAATCGCATCAATGAACATTGGGCGGATGTACTTTCAGACTATTTGCAGGTACTTCGGTGAGCATATCGATACAAACAGCCCAGAGGTAGCGAAAGGCTATTGCGATGGCATGTGTGATGTATGCCATGGTCTCTTGCTGCAGTGATTCATGCTCAGATCGCTGTGCAGGTGTGCAAGTCCCCGGACAAGACGAAGCGACGGAAGTCGGATCTGTCACCTGAAGCGCTTGTCAGCTCGCAGATTGCTGTGTTACAGCGTCAAGCGGGCAGTAATAAGGACGATGAGGGCTCTCGTCGGAAGCAAAACTCTATGTATCCAAATCACGGTTCGGCTTCTCGTCCCGCACCGAAAACCTCAACAAGCTCCGGGTGGAGGAAGAATCTCAGGGACGGCGATGATGACGACGTATCCATAAGCTGGGACGTATCTGATGCATGCAACAACGCCAGAGCCTCGGGTCCGTCTACCAGTATCCGCAGAGCACCCAGCTCGAAGTCTTTTAAACGACCTGCTAGTTTCGACAAGAGAGACTATGGTTGCGGGAAGAAGGTGAAAGTCAACACTCCTATGCCTCTGGGAATGTGTAAGTGCTGAGTATCCCTTTGATTCTCGTACGGAGTGATTTAGATGATATCAGCATCCAGGTTGAAACAGACCATTAATAAGCCTTTCAGATCACCATTTATGCCAGTACCTCTTGGAAGTTCTCTCAGTCGGAGCGAAACTCCGCGGAGCCCGATGGATGGCCCTATAGAAATTGATAGATTGGACGATGGAGATACTACCGAGGGGTCCACTGCGTCGCGATCAGCTTCGGAAGATAGAATCATCGATATTTCATGCCTGAATAACGAATCTGAGGAGAACGCTATCCGGAACCGATCTTGTCTGTGATCCATTCATGGTTTGTTACCTACTAACACCGTCCCATATAGCAACACCGAGTCAACTCCCCGATACCGACATCGAGCTGGAAGCTCTTTTCTCCCAGAAGAAGGTCTCTGTACGTGGTCATGCTCCTGTTTCTCTGTAGTCAAGTGAATATTCTCCCTTCTCAGATTGAAACACGACAGGAAACATTTGATCAGCTTCGAGGGGCCCTTCATCGCGTTTTCTCTCAGAGTAGCGCAGCGGGCCTTCTGTGGCAAATACTGAGTATGGATTCGGCGGATGACAATATTAGGTGTGTGGGAGGCGCCCGTTCCCCCTCAATATTTCTTTGACGAATACTTACCTACTTTTGCAAGGAACGATGCTCTGGCTAACGTGGCGCAGAGAGTTGAGTTCGAGGCACTTTCGTTGTGCACGACTGAGGACGGTTACAAGATTCGATCGCGGGAACGAATCCAAGCAGTACAGCAACTCTCCAGGCCTGAAGTGTGGGATGGCAAGACATTGAACAATCTTGAGTACGCGTGTGAAATTGCAGAAACGACGAAACAGGTCTGCGCCCAGGCTCGGAGAAGCATCAAGGGTAAAGGACGGGCAAGGTCGTGATCGATCCGCAACGGATTAGTATGATGAGACAACACTCAGAACTTTTCAACGCGTCATATATAGATAAAGGCGAATAATGCTACAATACCCCTTTGTAATATACACAGATTATAATCATCCGTATCCCGTTGGTATCATCTTGCTTATGGTATCGTCCACACCGCGATTGATTCCTCCTGGCGTCCTAATGTATGTAACAAGCGTGGCTTGCCACTCCCACGCCTCATATTAAAGAGAGAGGATGACCCGGCAAAGGTCATGCCTAAACAGCGGTAAGCATAGAGTTTAGAGAGATGAAGTCTGCAAGGGACATACCGTTCTCCTTTCCACATCGGTTACATACTATAACGAATGTCTCTTCTACATCATCAGACTGCCCGTCTGCTCTTTCATCTTGGACACTATCTTTCACCCATAGTGGACGCAGCCTTGCGGCCCAGTAGTTGACCGTTTGCCAGTCTGTTTCTTCATCTGAACCCCTACCCGAATCAAGCCAGGCGTTCAACAAGACCAGGAGGGTCGTCTTGCGTTCGATGCAGTAGTTGGCCATCTCGTATGGTCCGTCTAAGAGCGTCCACATTGCAGGAGGCTCAGTATTCAGGTCCATGCAGATACCAAGACTGACAGTGTTCAAGGGTGAGGGTAGATCGAATGTCACGAAGCCAGTTCCTTAAAAAGGATGTCGATGCATCACTCCCGTTTTGATCAGTAGAACGGTGCATACCTGGCTTAGCCCAAGTCATGTCGGTTTCGAACAGATTGGTCTTGCGATACCCTCCTACAAGAGCACCGTTTGGACCATACATCACAGCACTGTTGGCACCAACGGTGGTGATTTCATTTCCTTCATCCGTAACTCGTCTCTCGGCTTCATGAGGCCCATGACGCTCCGGATAGCCAGCAGCGACATAGCAGTGCAGTCGTGCAGCGAGATCGGCACAGAAGCGAGATGTCGGGCCCGTCTTAGGGTCTTCCAAGTGTGGGCTTATAGCCTTTGCGTCCGGAAAGACATAACCTATGCAAAACAAGCTATGGGAAGTTTTAAAATACCCGCTAATGCAGCGCACCAGTGAAGATCATCTCCGGCAGACACACAAGATCCACAGAACGAGGCTTAAGCCTATCAGACGACGTATGAACAACATGCCCGGAGTAGTCTGCATCATGCACACCTCTCGCATAGCCTTGCGGCCGTCTTTATATTCTCTCCAACTTGTCCTATCTTGCACGTCCATCAGTGCGAGAAGTTGGTGAGCTTAGTGGATGATAGCCACTTTTGGAGCAAACTGCACGACCGCGATGCGCATAACTGTGCGAGCGAGCGAGCGGTGGGGTGGACCACGACAGGAGATACGGAATGCTGAGGCCAACGCCGTGTTCGATTTATAGTCTGGGTTCGCATGCAGTAGGCTGAGTGCAAGGCCAAGTGTCAGACAGTCGCGGCTCTAGACTGAAAAGGGAGATCGGGCGGCCACCACCAAATATGCAGAAGTGGTCTGATCGTCCAATGGACTTATGCCAGCCCGCGACCCGCTCTGCTCCCTCTCTCCTCCTCGACTCTGACCTCCACCGTCTCATTCGCAATGGTTAGCTCTGCTAAGGAAAGCTACCTCGTCATTGGCGGCAGTGGTTTCCTCGGTCGGCACATCGTAGATGCTCTCCTGGCGCGCAATGACACCGTAGCTGTCTTCGACATCGTCCAGAGGTATCACGACGTGCCGTTTTACTCAGGGGACATTAGCGAAGAAGAGCAGGTTGGTGAGGCTCTACGCAAGGTACGTCTTCCTACTAAAATCTTCACTTCGTCATCTGAACGAGTGCTTCAGTGTGGGGCGACCTGTATAATCCATACCGCATCCCCTCCTCATGGTATGGACGACCCGGCCCTCTACTGGAGGGTCAACGTGGATGGTACTAGAGCTGTCATCTCGGCCGCGGTTGCTCACCACGTCTCGAAGCTGGTCTACACTAGTACTGCTGGTGTAGTTTTTAACGGGGAGTACGATCTCATTGGCGTTGACGAACGCATGCCACTCCCGGAGAAAGCAATGGACGCATATAACGAGTCAAAAGCTAAAGCCGAGAAGCTTGTGCTTGAGGCTAATGGTAAGGATGGCTTATACACCGTTTCACTGCGCGTCGCGGGACTATTTGGGTGAGTTCAGTGTGTATTCTAGCTGGCCTGCATGCTCACGTTCTGCCAGCCCTGGAGACAAGCAGGCGATGATTGGTCTCTACGACGTGTACAAGGCTGGCCAGACCCACTACCAGATTGGCGACAACACCAACCTGTTCGACTGGACGTACGTCGGGAACGCAGCACACGCGCATGTGCTTGCCGCAGACCGTTTGCGCCCTTTGACATCTGACGAGGTGGCAAAGCTCAAAGAGGACCTGAAAGTTGCCCTTCCCTATGTAAACTGCACTATGGGTGCTCAACACATCCCCTCCTCTGCGTCTCGTCCATTAGGACCATACGTAATCCCGCCACCAGACGCAGAGCAGATCACTGCGCGATGGAACGACCCTAATTACCAAAGTGCGGTCCGACCTGCCGTTCGCGGGCGATTCGACCAGCTGTCTGAGAGCGCACTTGCGCGGGAGAATGACGCGCCTTTGCAGGTCGCCGGCCAGGTATTCTTTATCACGAACGGGGAACCGATGCCCTTCTGGGACGTCCCCCGGGCCGCATGGCACTTCTTCGACAAGGCTTTTGGCACCACCAAGTCTAGCCGCTCTATTGTTCACTTCCCAAGAGAGATTGGGATGGTACTTGCCTATGGTGCAGAATGGGCTTCGTGGCTATTGGGTAGGAAACCCACTTTCACGAGATTCAGGGTGAAATTCAGTTGCATGTCGCGATACCACAACATCGAAAAGGCGCGGCGAGTGCTTGGCTATGAGCCCCAGTTGGGCATGGAAGAGGCACTAAAGAAAACACTGGAGGTGCGCCACTTCTATCGAGATATCGCGATTGTGTCTGAAATTTTTACAGTGGTTCGTGGCAGATTTACGGAAGTCGAATAAGGCATAAATCCGACATGTTTGCTCGCTTCAATATCTTGATATATACCTTATACATTTTATATCATTGTCGACTGGTGATTCTCGTGGCATTGAGTGATGTGCATACTGTACCTTCTCTAATGGCATACTGGAGCACTAACTCACCAGCTAGTTCCCGCAACTAGATGCGTGATTCCAAGTAATACCTACATGGATTGGAGAAAATGCATGGCGTACAAGAAGGTGGAATTTCCGGAACAGCACAATAAATAACGCATCTCAGCGGTAGCATGATCGGGAGAGACCGAGGCGAGTCTACTAGTTCTAAGACGAGCAACTAGAATTCAGGATCCGTTTTACTAGTGAGAAGAAATTAGCTTGAAAAAAGTGCATTCCCTCTATCACTCACTGAATATCAATCACTGAATGGTTGCTGCCAGTACCGATGTGCTTGTCGCTCTGAAGTCATTGTTAGTCTCGGGGGTCAACAAGCAGAGACGAGCTTCTCACCACATCGTCATCCATCGCCGTACCAGATCGAATAGTGTCGAGACCAATAGTCATGGCAGCACCCTGGAGACGGAGTGAAAAATGGTCATATATAGCTCCGTTTCAAGTTCATACCTTGCTCTCAGTATCAACAACGCCAAATTGCACGCTGCGTGAAGTCTCGCCCCGAGTGCCATGCCCGCTGCTTGTGCGGCCGCTCTTGAGGTCGTGTAGGTTCATGCTTGCCTCTTCTTCGACACCTTTTCCACGGTGTACGTTGCGGAAGTTAAGCCTGGACGAAAACTGTAAGCCAGGGAGATAACCTTCATGCGCGTAAGAAAAGTACGAACATGAGCAACAGACTATTGATGTAAGCTACGAAGTTGCGGGACATCAACACACGCCCCAGATAGAAGTCCAATGAAATACCAACCCTTGCTCGTCACGAAGTGGAAGAGGATCCAGACTTGCTGCGTGGGTGCGGCGACGAACAGGACGAGTGAAACAAATTGAAGGAGACTATGGGATACGGTGAGTGGGTCATCTTCACATACTAAGATATATACGATACGCACGTGAAGCACGTCCCGCGGTTGATGAAGCAAACGGCGACATATTCATACCAGCCCTGGGCGCTGAATAGTACCTCTCAGTATGTATCAGTGCCATAGCGATACACAGGTCTACTCACACCTTCAAACCAGGGAACCTTTCTCGCTGGAGATAGTAGAAGAGCGCGCCAACAATGATGAGATCGCAGAGAGTGCTTAACCCATATTGAACGCCCGTGAGGACCTAGTCCCGTGGTTTATGGGTTAATCATAGGTTTCAGAATTCTCAACGCTCTCACACACCTTGATAGTGTGGTTAACGAAGTTGTAGAATAATGGCTGGTCAGAACTGGGGTCCTGTCAGCACACAAGGGAAATAAATGATCAGACTGAAAGATGGACTGACATCTCCGCTGATGACGCTATGTGACGAAATTGTTGAATAATAATAAAAAAGACCAATCAGGTAGATAGCTCACCGATTCCGAGCGCTGATGTGCATTAAATGGTCAGGAGATATGACTTCCATTTGTTGCGTCCCGGACTCACCGAGGTTTGCGGTGGCAAGCACAGCCTATCCGGAAAATCAGTATTTTTCTTTAGATTCAAGGAAGCCACGTACGGCCAGTGTAGGAAGAACAGGGTTCTCCCCATTTACTGCGTCATGGCCTTGTTAGTTGGATTGACAGACTAAGACAGACTCCACGCACTTGAATATATACGGCTCGCATAGAAGCTACGATCGTGAGTCCTGTGACATTCCTATAGGAGAATCGGTGACTTACCACTGGGTCAAGAATATGCCAAATGCCTGAAGTGACATTAGCCAATGACTTTATGGTGTCAGAAGAGGACCCGAGTTCGTACCGCAAGTGCGTTTTCTGACTGGAGAAGCAGAGTCAATGCGGAACGATTACACATTATGAACGGCATGAGAAAACCAGGCACTCACAATGAAAGTCCTGAGGAAGTGGTCAGAATTTAGCATCGTGGGAGAGGTATCAAGCTCACTTGGTGATGTTAAGCGTGTCAAACGGTGCCATGAAACTGGTGATCAAATAATAGTATAGGCTGGACATGAAGCATTGGTAAATTTGGACTAGAGTGTTGAAGTGTATGGACGCACGTATGGGACACTAGATGATGCAATCTCAATATCAGCGTCTTAAATATCAATGACAGCACATCTTTGCTCACGCAATGTGGTCGTTGCAGTGTCCACCGCCCTGAGGCCGTTTTGAGTTGGATCGAGCAATACCGACGACTCTCAAACGTACCATATTAGACCGATCTATCATTTGTACGTGAGCAAGATACACAATTGAGCGTAAAACAGTACACACCGTATACTTCGAAAGCCTGCTGTCGGAAGGGAAACGCGAGTAGTAGATGTAAGTCTCTGGTGGAAATTTCAGCAAAATTACGGGGCAGAGACGACATTACATACGGAAGAAGGTCAACCCATAGAGCGTCACGGCGAAGATGAAACCGATGAGGAGCACGCCAAAGGTCTTGTTCAGTTCCTCAACGGTCGGGGGTGGCGGTAGAACAGGAATCTCGCTGGAGCTCATGGCCAACGGGGTGACTTGGGGACGGGCAGCAGATACGGGATGGAAGATGGAGAGATACAGCCTCACAACGCTCTGGGCGACAGGCGTACTTTAAGTAGGCGTACTGGGCGCATATACTCAGATATCAAGCACGTGACCGATCAGGTTCGGGCCCAGCATCAGACACAGGTCGCTGAGGTTTGTTTGTTCGGTAGTTCATCACGATGGTGATGCTCCGAGCGAGCAGATGCCAGAGAAAGGATTCAGAATGAAGATAGAGTCCAGCGATAAGCCCTCCCGGTGGGCTCCGTGTGCGGCGACCGTCGAGTGAGTAGAGTGCGCGGGATGACCCGGCGGACGAGCCCATCACGTAAACGCGCCATCGCGTGCACCCGCACTTTGTCGGCCAACGACTTTCTCATTTGTGTGCTCCTTATAAGCATCGTCCCCGCCGGAGCCGGGAGGACCACTAACCATCTTCCCTCGCGGCCGCACCTGCAGGCATGCCGTCGAGCGCAAATAGCATGCTTGGTAAGTCACTTATCAGCATCTGCAGAAGTCTCCGCATCGCCTTACCCTTCTCTCATCTGCCAATTCAAGCTGGCGCAGGAGGCGGCCTTGTTGCCAGCATTGCGACCTGTCCTTTGGATGTGATCAAGACTCGGCTCCAGGCGCAACACCATGCTCACGGATCGAAGGGATATATGGGTGTGGTCGGTGAGGGGTCCTCTCGGCTTGTTACAGCACACCTCTCAGGTTGGCTCAATGTACGTCCTGTCTCGGCTTTATGTTTCCAGCCACCGTCAAAACTATCCTCAACCACGACGGCATCCGCGGCTTGTACCGTGGCCTGGGCCCCACCATCTTAGGTTACCTCCCGACTTGGGCAATATATTTTGCGGTATACGATGGCATAAAGACTCATTTTGGTGAGAACCCGCTGGGAGATGTATCGGCTGTACGACATGTCTATCCTGCCGCCCAGGTGAAAGGGTACCAACCCTTGTCACGAGAACATCCTTGGACACTACACATTCTGTCCGCTATGGCCGCTGGTGCGACTAGTACCATCTGCACAAATCCGCTATGGGTCATCAAGACTCGTTTTATGGTATGTCTTTTTTCTTTCTCCTAGTGTCGTCGTCTAACAGCATCCTCTGCGCGTGCATTTAGACACAACCTTTCACCGAGAGAAGATATCGACACACGTTTGATGCCGCGCGTACAATATACCGGACTGAGGGCTGGCGGGCGTTTTTCCGCGGTCTACTTCCCAGTCTCCTTGGAATATTACACGTTGGCGTGCAGTTTCCTTTATATGAGCAACTCAAAACATGGGCTCGTAAGTGTTGGCCCCCGCCGATCGCACGTATCGGTACTAATCGGTTGTGGCTGTGACAGGGCGACGTTATGCGAGAGAGGATCTCTTACCACAGCAATTCCTTGCTTGCTCCGCCGTGTCCAAGATGACGGCATCTATTGCGACATATCCTCACGAGGTCGTGAGGACGCGACTACAGACACAAAGAAGACCGCTTGTTAGTGGTGGAAGCCAGGCGATTGACAGACCACGAGCAGGAATCATACAAACTGTGAAGACGATTGTACACCGTGAGGGGTGGAGGGGATTGTACAAAGGATTGTCCGTGAATCTCGTCCGGACAGTACCAAATAGCGCCGTGACGATGCTAACGTGAGTTGCCCTTCTTGACTGCGTAATTCATGTTAATTCCCTTTCTCCAGATATGAAATGCTTATTCGTTACCTCGAGGGACGATCAGAGACGTCATAGCACGGGCAGCTGCTGGAATCACAGGCCCATAGCACCACAGATGCTCACGATGCGCCGATGTTGCCCGTCGTACGCCATGTAGAATAGTGCACACTCGTTTTACTGTCTCTTGTTTCTCATGCTGATATCATAGCATTTTCCTACTGCTACTCATGAGTAGACTTAGCAGATTTATAGAGCAATGCAGCATGATATATATATGGTGCTGAACTCGCCCACATTTGCACCTAGTCAGGTGTTATCTAGAGCTGTGGTCTACAGGTGAGTCACATTCTATGATTGGCATTCATATGTTCGAGCTGTCATCCAGAAATAAATATGCCTAGAGTTCATTATGTAGAGAATACAAGCCCCGAGGTCTAAAACCGTCCCGCAGAGAACAGTGCCCAGGCACAACGTTCATTGCAATCATCACGGATTCAGTGTTCAAGAGATCATGGGGTGCTCCATATTCCGACACCTCAGATCATCTAGTGGATACTAGAGCCTTCGAACCCTCATCGTATTTCGGCACCGAAAGGGCCCGTCCGCAATCATGAGCCCTTTCGCAGATACCGTAACATACCTACCCATAGATTTAAATAAGCTTGACAACGATACATTCGGTCAGGTATCCAGTACGATTACGACGATGGCAAATCTAGAGACAGCGGTGCAGCCGGGAGCGAAACATGCCATATGCGCATAACTAATACTACCCCCCCTCCTTCCCTCACCTGGAGCAGTGCGGAGACCAGCAGCCAGAAATTCGAATTGGGAGACAAGGAGCGTAGACCATCGACACGCGCGGCGTGGACGAGTTGGAGCGGAGTGGAGGAAGGCTGGGCATCTAGTGGAGAAAGGAACATGGGCGCAATTGGGATGCCAGAGGGACGGAGCACTACCGCTCGGGGGCACCTGTCGAAGTGGTGGGCTATGACGCAAACGGAGCGAAGGCAACAAGTAAAGACCGGACAGGCCGCGATTGGCCCAACGTGCGGGCATAGGGTCGGTACCAAGGACATGAAGCGGAGTACGAAGGGTCCGTAGCAATAGCGAGATGCTAACTAAACGATTAGTCCGTAGTGAAACAAAAGAAAAGCTATCAACCACTAAGGACAACACCGAAAGGGTAATAATGCACGATGGCGCGGAAGGGGAATATTGTCAAATGATACATAGCGTAGTTGGTTGGTGAATAAGTGAGCTGTAAGGGACATTCCGACGACACAAACCCAATGAGAGGAAATTGATTTGAGACAGTGGTAGACAAAGACGAACCATTGCTAATGCGGATCGTCCCGTACCGTCGTGGCGGCGTCGTCGTCAGCAGCGTCGCTCAACGTCTCTACTCTGACCCCTCTCGATGAGTCTACACTGCGAATGTCTCTTCCTTCTTCAGCTAACTCCTCTCTCAGCAACACACCAGGTGGTTCGAGGACGTTGCTATCCGGACTTTCTCCATCGTCTCCCGGCCCGTTCGCAAAGTCAGGTTTTCGTAAGGCAGTGCGGAAGGCGGCAGCCATGATCGCGGCATCTGCACCAGAGAAGAGACCCGGATCGCTAGTCCTTGACATGGTCGAGGCACCGTCATGACCGTCTGTAGGTGAAGTTGGCCGATGATCCCCACTTTCTGTTGTCCCAGCTCCTCCGGCGCCAGCGGCCAGAGCCGCGGAACCTAGCAACGGAGATTGCGCGGAATGTCCTGTGGCGGCATTGGCCATCATGGGCGAGGCAGAATTCATGGAGCCACGGTGTGAGAGCATGCTATTCCTCCGATTGCGCATACGGCGAGAGATGAAGAAGGCAAGGACACCACAAGCAACGAGCGCGAGGAAACCGAGGACGACGATGACAGCGATAGCCCAATGGGGGAAGTTAGTACTATTGAGTGACTGCACGGATCCTGATCCTGAACCAGCCGACGACGTGGTCGATGGGATGGTCGATGATGCATTGATGGAGGATATGCCGGTCACAGACGTTGCTGCTGCCGATTTCGACGACGCCGCAGACGCTGATGACGCCGAAGCAGCAGAGGAAGCGGAAGCAGCAGAGGAGGCAGAGGCGGCTGATGCAGACGACATCGATGAAGCAACGGAATCAGCGTACGTAGTCTCTGAAGGACTTCATAAGCAAACTGAACACCGGGAAATGTGGTGCTGAGCACTCACGGATGGCCGCAAAAGTCGCCAAAGGCGAGAGCTGTCCGGAAGCTGTTTGGGTAGCAGGGCTGATCTCCCAATAGAAGGAGTATGTTTGCGTCCCACCATTCCATTCCAGGCCACGATCACCAAACCAGGTGTCGTTGACGCAAGCGTTAACTTGGCCAGCCGTTGTGCTGGGGTTGGTTTGTCCAAGGAAACTGAGAACCGGTGTTAAAGAATCCGCGTTGTAGAGATAGACGTCGACCTGATTTGTCTCGGTGAACTGAGGCAATCTGGTGTTCCCTGTGGGTCGAGTTATGAATGAGTGCTGAATGACACTGAGGATATCGATGTCAAATACATACAGACAAATCCTGCCCATTCATGCTGAGCAACGACAGTATTGGATTCTGGGTAGCAGGAAAAGACTCCGTTGTTGGAGTCGAAGCAAGCTTGCAACGCCTCGGCTGTGAAGATGAGAATCAGTAAACATCGCGACCCAAGAAATAACCATCATAGGAGGCTTGTGGAAGGGAGAAATATATACGCACAGATTTGGGCCTCATCGTCAATGGTCCCGCCACAGGTCGTGCCGCTGGGAACGTTCTGTCGCGGGTAGTCCCAGTGGGCTGAGGGCGACCAACGATAGTCAAGCTGCCTCTTGTGCCTTATTGGGGCAGACGGGGGGGAGGGGGCAGCAGTCGGCGAGGGCCAGGGAGAACGGGCACTCGCGGCAGAGGACATAGGCCTGACGGTAGATGGATGGGAGAGGAAGGGGCGAGTGGTGTGGGGGCGATTGGTGACACGCGACGGGAAGAATAGCTAGAGGGCGTATGGAGGCTAATTTGCATAATCCAGAGCAAGAACGAGCCGTGGATGACGATGCCCGACGCTGGCAGTCGTTCTGGCTGGCGGCGAGGGGGCGGGCAGCAGCGAGAGAGAGGCGGGGGACTACGGGCGACAGAGGACGGACGTCGACATCAAGAAAAGACGAGCCTGGGAGCACAACAAACCCCGTTGGCGCCCGTCGCCCGGCCCATATCCCATTACCTCAGCCGCTCCCTCCCCTGCGTCCCCTCCTGCCCCTCTCAACAAATTTCCTCCTCTCTCCTCACTTTCCTAGGCCTCGTCTCGCCTGCTCATCGCCAGCTGTGGGCCCCGCCGGCCATTCTGCTCGTGGCCCTTGCGTCGTGCGCTCCCTCCCTCTTCCCACATGATCTTGCCTCGCTATTATTAGGCCCGACCCGGCTGCCTGTGCCCGCTTTCTCGCGCGTAACAAGTCCAGTTTCCAGCTGTCTCTCGTCGTCGAAAAATCCTGCTTGTCCTTCTGGTCCTGACGCCTATATGATATCACATCAACCGCTCTCCCCCGGTGGGAGAGTTTCAGACTCGTGATTGAATCACTTCCAGCCACTCTGGATGCCCGCTCCTCACTGCCGCTCCGGTGGTACAGTGTGACACTCTAAGCTGCTACAGCTGCCCTCTGAAACGAAAACTCCGGTCTGCTCAAGCCCTTTGGATCTTACAAACCTGCCGCCGCCGACCCAGTCGCCTTTCTATGGCCGCCGTGTACGTACATCGTTGAAGGCGTCTCGCCCTCTTGGGATGCCGACGGCGGTACATATCGATTTCCCAGGATTAGAAACATTCTTGAGTGCTGCATATATACACCCGAAGCTGAGGGTACTCGCATCGGATGGATGACTGCTCGACCTCGGCCGAAGGTGTACGAGCCTGTCAATGAGTGGACTGTAGTCACTACGTCTCAGCAACGAACACTCTGTCTTGCGCCGCATTCTGCAAGCCGCAACTCTGCGTCTGTTGTCAGCCAACGAGACCGCCATGTGATGATACACCGGAGTGATCCATACTGATGACAGCAGCCCGCGGCCATTGGGAATGTCTTCTGTCCGGCGAAGTCTCGCCGTATAATGAGTGCGCATTGCGCCCTTTCCAAATAGGTCCGTGATCTTCCTACATTTGTGAGTTGTAACGGGGAGAATTTAGCAACATCCTGCCGGTGCGGTCTGTTACCTCCGTTCTCACCGTCTTCATTTCCGCACAAGCGGCATGTCTTCGGCTCGGACGATCCGTAAATGCCGAATCCCTCAAGGCTCTTTCCGGGTATTATAAGCTCATCAATGAATAAAAGTAGCTGAGTATTCTCTGCCTGTACATTCAGTGAATGACTGTTGCAAATGTCTTTTGTCGGCGTCTACAGCCTTATCAGACGGCTGCAACCTGAGTCGCGCCATTACACTGTCCTTTTGATATGATTATGAGGTATTAATTGAGTATCTGTGTTATGTCTACCTCTATGATCCGAGTAGTCAAGGCTTCTTGCGCCTTGTGAGTTTGCGTTGCTCCATTGTATGATGCATATCTCCCAGTGATTCATTGATATATCACGTGTCTTTGTCCAGTGCTCTATGTGCGGACTTGTTTGCGTCCATACATGTTGTGCGCGCTAGTGCGCGCTTTGCGAAATCTAAACTTCAGTGGGGATGTCTGGGGAAACAGCCGAGTTAGCGCCCACTACGAGAAATCATGTGTCACGAGTCACTACGCCGACTGCAGTGCTCCGCGCTTTTCGACTCTGATTGATGCTCGTCTTTCTTTGCTAAATCGTCAGCGCGCCAGGCTGGCCATTGAGCGTGTTGACCACCGTAATTGCTGCCTCCCTCCTGCGGATACACTACCTAGAAGCCACGACAGGAGCTGAATCATCAACCGTCTTGTCTCTGTGCTCACTTGCCTTCGAGTTTTCTAAAGTTGCCTCATTTAATGTTGTGTAGACCGTCTACTTTTTGGACACGGTCGGTGCAATCATCGGTACGTCCTCCACGTATCAGGTGTCTGTCTTGTCCATACCGGTTCTTGCCTGTTACTTCCGGTAGTCTTAGTGACGTGTTAAGTTGCTGGCGCACGCTGTCACCAGGACCAGGCTTATAGGCATTCCGCCTGGGCACGCACCAATATCACCAGGGGTTGCTGGCAGATCGTCGTGCCGTCATGGGAGTCCGGAGAATCGTGCTGTGCATACGGAAGGCCGCCGCTCGGCCTTCCGTTTACTCTGCTTCAAAGTTTATAGTTATGGCACGTTGAACTCTCGTCGTGTTCGCGACTGTTCTTCCAGACCAGCGCCCGCATCTCAGGCCGTTGCCTAAAAGTTGTCGTTGATGCATCGTTCGCCGCTTGTCCTGCACACAAGCAAGGTGCGAGCTTTCTTTACCGTGTGGCATCACGTGCAGAACGTGAACTTCTTACCTTGTATTCGTCGCTCTCATGATGGGTATGCAAGGCATAGCTAACACCTCGTTACGCTAGTCACTTAGGGCAATCATGTCTAAGTCACGCTCCTTAAAGACTTCTGCTCCACGGCGAGCAGATGCTGTTCCCCCAGGTTATGTTGAAGATCTCAGCGCAGGCCCAATGCTCCGCTTTGAGGCCTCTCTTCCACGTCTCCCCATCCCTCCATTATCTTCTACTGCCGCGAAATATCTTGAGAGTGTTCAACCACACCTTACGCCCGCACAATTCTCGGCGACGCAATCTGCTGTCAAAGCATTTCTAGACTCAGAACTGTCAAACGTCTTGCAGGCGCGCCTCGAAGAGCGTGCCCGCGACCCCAATATGAAGAACTGGCTGGCAGACTGGTGGAATGATGCCGCGTACATGGGTTATCGTGATCCCGTGGTGGTATATGTCAGCTATTTCTACGTGCACATCGACGATAGGTACAGACCGGGGCAGGCAAAGCGTGCAGCAAGCCTGCTGAAGGCCATGCTGCCATTCAGAGAGATGACAGAGAGGTGAGGATGTCGTGTTGCATGCGTTGATGCGTGAGTGAGAATTATATTTCCAGTAAGCAACTCGAGCCGGAGAAAATTCGAGGGATGCCGTTGTCTATGGCTTCATACAAGTGGCTGTATGTTGCACCATGCTTGGTGCGAGGTTGGGTACTGATAGGTTTCTACAGATTCCACTCCAGCAGATATCCTGTCAAGCCCTCTGATACAGCACGAAAGTTCGACCCCGCCACAAATAATCATGTCGTGTTCGTTCGGAAGAACAAGTTCTTCCAGGTCCCCTTGACCAACAAGACGGGACGCGAGTTGTCTGTCGCGGAACTAGAAGCTCAGATTGAGAAGATCATAGCCATGGCAGGCAGTGAGAAAGCTGCTCCAGTTGGTGCGCTGACAAGCGAAAACAGGGATAACTGGGCCGATGTAAGCTATTGGTCTCTGGTTGATGGGCTATCTGTTTACGAGTTTGTAAGGCACGCGCTGCCCTCCTTGCCGCCTCGCCTTCCAATGCAGTATCTCTTGAGACTATTGAATCGGCGATGATGGTAGTATGTTTGGACGACTCAGCACCTGTCACCCGGGAAGATGCAAGCTGGGCATGTTGGGTGGGCGATGGGCGAAATCGCTTCTACGACAAGCATCAGCGTAGGCCGCTCCACTTTTCTATTTCTAATTTGTCGTGGACTCATAGCGTGCTGAATTTGCAGTGATTGTTTTCGAGAACGGAAAGTCCGGGTTCTTGGGCGAACACTCGTGCATGGATGGCACACCTACTTTGCGGCTGAACGAGTTCATGCTTGCAGCTCTCGCAGCAGGGAAGGTTGACTTGGGCCCGGCCCGCACTCCGGAGACAGGCAATGATTTGGAGGCGCCGAAGGAACTCATGTTTGTCCTGGACTCGAAGACCCAGCAGTATGTCAAGCAGGCCGAAGCTGCATTTGATGAACTCGTCGGCAAGCATGACATGGAGGTGACCACATCGCATTTCATACATCCGCGCGGCTTACTGAATAGTTGCATCGTGGAAATTGACGTCAGGTCCTGCATTATGAGGGCTACGGTAAGGAGTACATCAAGAAGTTCAAGGCCTCGCCAGATGCCTGGGCGCAGCTCGTCAAGCAGCTTGCATTCCACAAAATGTTCAACAGACCGGGCGTCTGCTACGAGAGTGCTCAGACACGTAAGTACCAGCTTGGTAGGACAGAGGTCATCCGCGCTGCCAGCAACGAGAGCAAAGCGTGGGCCGAAGCGATGCTAAACCCAGAGGAGTCGGTGAGCTTTTACACAAATCACACATATCATGCAATTGATCGGTTTGTCATTTAGGATGAACATCGTGCGACCCTCTTCCGCAAGGCAGTTACCAGACACTTGCAGTATGCGGCATGGGCGGCCGATGGTCAGGGCGTGGACCGGCATCTGTTCGGCCTGAAGAAGATGTTGCGGGAAGGAGAGCCTGTACCTTCAATTTACACCGATGAAGCATTCTCGAAGACTAACAACTGGGAATTATCAACTTCGAATCTATCGTCGCCGTTCTTGGACGGGTGGGGATACGGTGAAGGTCAGTTATACCGCCCCCAAGTCTCATTTTGAACGAATAGGCTGACATTGCCATAAACAGTCGTCACGGACGGCTATGGCCTTTCGTACTCCATTGGTGACTACCACATTCGCTGGACAATCACCAGTTTGAAGAGGCAGACAGCCGAGTTGAAGCACTATCTTGCGGAAGCAGCGACGGAAACGAGGCTCATGATGGAGCGTGCTGCCGCGGCGGAGGCGAAGAAGGCTGGTGAAGGAAAGGCGAAGTTGTGATCTATTGGGAAACGGGTGATACTCACCGTACTTGCATATCATGTTCTTTCTGAAATCCTACAATATAATATACGTGCTCATTTAGCGATTATTGAATGTACGCATGATCCTCGGTTTTTGCGAGACGAACGGCGCAACTGGCATTGAAGATGCAGTGTATTCAATGACATACGATGAAGCACCAAATAAGTGTTACAGTCTAGACATTGCAAGATCTTCCTCAGTGACCGTTGTCTCGCTACTACGCTCCTGCAACTCCGACATCAACCCGAGTCGATGCTTGTACCACCAACGCAAGCAGTACTCTTTCTCCGCGTCGCCTACGTTCTCGGAAATCTCCTTGAAAAGCGCACGAACAAGTTCCGTTCGCTGAGAAGTCAAAATATGCGGAAGAGAATCCGGACTTGATAAATTGCAAGTGATGATTGTTTTGCAAACATCCAGGAGCCGCGGAAGAGTCGCCAGGGAGAGAGAGGGCACTGTCGCGATCAGCGTGAGTCGGAGTCGATGCAAGTGTGCCCCGTCCAGGACAGGAACTTCTGGAGCACCGCCGGTACGGTGAATGGGGGCCAGCAAGGTTTCGATACAGAACCATGCCAACACGTCTCCGTCTATGCGTCCGCGGGAATGCGCGGGTTGGCCATTGCCGTAAGCAGTGGCACTCCTGACGAGCGCTGCATAGGCGAGACATAGCTGCTGTGTGCTCAGCTTGCCTTCGCCCGAATTCTGTACGCCAAAAATTAGTCTATTGTTAGCCTGCACGTAAGTAAATGATGGCCTCACATCTATCAGACAGCTGGCGTAGAATGGCACTATCTCCTCCATGAATGTACGGGAGGTTCCGTCAGCGGCAGGGGGACGTTTCTCAGAGTCGTCCAGCTTCTGCGCGTATGAGGCGAATATAGCGAGCATCACTGAGTGCGCAGATTCGTATGCCTCACGATTAGCTGCATCAAAAAGATGGCTATTCTTTGTGTCAGTGACGAATGGCATTGATGAACACACTATGTAACGAACTCACGGGGAGCACATTGAGAAAATATCCGTCCGGATCCGAACTTCACTCAGAACAGGTATTAGTTGCTCTATGCAAGCCAGACTATAGGCCTTCTTTGAGTGAGCGAAAGTCACAGGTGCGTGCATTACAACTGCATTTGTGCCGGGATTATTCAATTTCAGCAACATTTAAGTGGACGGTACTTGCCATCGCTGGACATTGCAGAGCATAGTTCTGACACAAATTGTTCACTTTCAGACGCGCTCGCAGACAGCACATCGAGGGCCATGTAAAAGACTCGCTTCAATTCCGCAAATCCACCTTCAGATGTGGATGTGACTCCACCAAACTGGTGGATGACAAACGATAATCGTGAGAGTGTACGAAGAATTGCTGCGGCGAGCGAAAATGAAGATATACTCGATGAATGAGAGGACGTAGAACTCGATGACGTGGATGGCGAAGGAATAAAGACAATCGTCGATAGAACTGACTGAGAAAGCATCAATGTGGCGAATAATTGAGTCTTCAGGATCGTCCATAATTGCTTAGTTACATCACGCGAGCCCGGGGCTATGTTCACATATTTCATCAGCCGTGAGTCCAAACAGAATAACCCTAAACTTGGATTTGAGAGGAAACAGCATACCTATGTCCTCCTCTCCTCGAGCAGCAGATAATGGACTTGACGTCCATTCCCTTTCTGTTTCCTGCGAAAGCTGATCCAACTTGGACATGGTATATGCCATCTGCTGCCAACCCTGTGAAGGGCGAGAGTCACACAACACAGAAAGCACTGTTGCCATGAATTTGGCTAAGCTACTCATGGATGAAATAAAACTGGAGTTGATGAGTAATTGGACATTGCCAGAGAACGGTGACGTTGCCTGGTAAGTCGGAATCATAATGAATAGGGTCTGCTCTACAGCGTTGACATATTACTCACGGCAAAGTGGATTTGGCCTTGGCTATCCTGCGTCAGCGAAGCCTTCATGGTGGACATGTATCTACCGCCTTGAAACGCGGACTCAATAGTAGAAATCAGCGAAGACGACAGTATCTGCGCAATGCAAGCTGTATTTAACCTGCATAAATGGCCACCTGAAGATGAACTCACTGGTAATGGGAGAGTCTGAAGTCTATAAGGCGATACTAACGGCATAAACCGGGATGACATGAGAAGAGAGAGCGCAAGGGGCTCTGAAGATGAAGGCTCAGTCCTAAGGTACGTCGTCAGTGGAAACAAAGCCGACCTTCGCCGTCTTCCGACTCAGATTTGAAATCTTTCGCCCAGTCCGCGGGAAACTGCACGTACGAGTAGGTGTCAAGCACCTCTGCTAAGGACAACACAGCCTCTTCCTCGACTTCTCTACGCAATCGTCCTTCACGGACACGAAGATGATCCTCCAGGTCATTGAGACCGAATAAGAGTCCGCCCGCACAAACTAGCTTGAGAGTTGAGTGACCTCCGCGAAGACCGTCAAGTACATTCCTGGTCCATTGCAAAAGGATTTGGTTTGGGCTGGGTGAGAAAATGCCGCCTTTCTCCTTCTGCAGCAACTTCACTTTAAGATGCACCGCTTGGCGGAACGCAGTATACAGAAGCTCAAGCTTTGCATATGAGAACGGCTGAAAGAGAACACTACTAACAATTGAACCTGCTAGAGATGTCGGAACTTGAGGCGAGTTTGCAAGATAGTGAGCTATAGATGCCTGTACAGTTGCCAACGAAAGGGATGTCGTCGGTTTATGAAGGTAGCTCAGTAGAACAAAGTATCCACGATCCATCATGTGTGCAGATTTCGCGTGTATTGAGCACAGTGGCGAAATATGAATCAAGTCGCGCAACGGCCGGTGGCGGGCGGGACGAGCGCGAGTTCTCCATTTCTGGAATTACCATATGAAGCCGGAAGCCGGAGGAGAATTGGAAATTGGGCGTGTTGACGAGCGCGGTGGCTGAAAAGTTTGAGGTGAGAAACTGTGCAGTCGCTATACAGCTCCAAATGAGCATCCCTCTCGGCACTTCGCCTCTCGTGCAGGGCATACAAGCATCTTCAGGTCGGTGCTAGTGAATATCATCATTGAGTATATTGCGCATTTACGGTGTGTCGACTGCAGGCTCCCAACATTTACAGGGCCAAAGGCGGACATATCTAAGCCTCTTGCCTCCTGCTCAAATCATTGAGATATGCCTCACATTTGAGGCCCACGCCCCGCAACATGTGCGTGAATCGGTATGGCCTAACGACCTTGATGCTGCTATTGTAGCCCTCAAGGAAGACTCGTCCTCAATTCCTGCTCAGACGGAGGCTGGTTCGTTAACATCCACTAGCACGCATACTCCAGTCACTGCCGATGCACCCTTGCAGCAGGTGCATACACCAGGTCAAAATGCGGTTCTGTCAGGTAGTCCACCCATGGCCTCCTTGTTCGATGATGTAGCAGGTGCACGACAGCCGTCCTTGCGATCTGCAGAGGAGTCCCATTCCAACCCGCAACAGGATCGTATTCCGTCAGCGGCACTTTCATCTTCCGCTACCGTACAACCGTCCTCTCCCCAACCTCCAGTTGCATCGACGTCGAAGGTCGGGATCTCTCACACCAACACTCACTATCCGCCACCACATTCGCCATATCCATATGCTCCGTATGGCTATACGGCTCAAAATCAATCACAGCAATCCGCCTACCCACATACACCGTATTACCCTCCACCGCCGCCACCGCACCATCTACATGCATATCCTCCCTACCACTACCCCGGCTACCCTTCTCCTGGCTACCCCTCACAACCATCTGGTCACGCCCCCTACGCGTCTTATCCTCCGCCTCCACCTACCCATGGATCTCCTTCACATTATCACCATGCCCCCGCGCCAGCTTCGCCTGCGCAGCCACCACCACCACCAGCCATGATAGATGATTTGCCATCCTATGAGGAAATGATCGTCGAGGCTTTGCTCGAGATGGGTGACCCTGAAGGTGCAGCACCGAAGGATCTGTTTACTTGGATGGCGGCACGATATCCGCTACAAACGAACTTTCGCCCGAGCGCAAGCCAGGCACTGCAGAAGGCATACAAACGAGGTAGACTGGAAAAACGATTGGGCGGACGATATCGGCTCAACTCGACTTGGGAGGGCGGTGCTGTGAGTCATATCTTTCGAATGGGTGGCGGTAACTGTGTTCTAATCTGAATTGCCTACATGTGTCGTGTGCACGTAGACATCAAAGCGCACGACCCGCCGCCCACAAACGCTCGCACAAACAACATATGCGATGCAGCACCCTCCTCAACCACCTTCGTCTCCCTTCACAACAGCACCGTTACAATCTCATCCCCAGCATCCTCAGCATCCTCAATATCCTCAGCCGAATCCCTCGGCTCCAGGACAGTCTTCGTATCCAGGATATCCTTACGGATATCCCCCGGGCGGATATCCATCATATCCTGGCTACCCGCCTTACCCTCCACCGAATGCACCTGCGACAGCTGAGAAGACTATCCCACAGAAAAAGGCTCAAGCCGGACCGCCTGCGGAGGTTTCACCGGTTCCGACCGCGCCTAGGTCGAATGTCACTGAAGGAGAGGAAAAGCATACGAACGGCGAGAGTGGAGATGCGGGTGCTTGGGAAGCAGCGCAGCACATCCTGCAGGCCATCAATTTTGGATCATTCACTCTACCTACAGATGGATTGGAGCAAGCTGCCGGGGATGCTGCTCAAGGCAGCTCGCATCCACCTCCTGCGGTCGCTGCGCCAGGCACGGAGCTTGGTGTGGCAGTCGGCTCGAGTGCGACAGGACATATTGGCGTGCGTATGGCACTGACAGACGAGGAACGAGCGTCGTTGCAGGCACAGCTTGCGCTACTAGCAGCGCAGCTCGCAGAGATCGCGGAGGACGAGGTTGAGGAGGGAGAAGACGAGGTCGAGGAATTCGTCCACATTGCGCGTTCAGTGGATTCTGCAGCTCTGAGAATACCTTCGGGTGCTGAACAGGGCAATACAAGTACAGTAGGCAAGGGCAACGCTATGGTGTTGGATATGAACCAGTTCCCTGAGCTGTTCTCGGCAGGTGGCGGGGGCATTCACCAGGCGGCGCCGATGGAGGTGGAAGATACTCCCGCTGTGGGCGTCAGTGCTGAGGAGGAGGAGAGCGATGACGACGACGATATGGAGATGATTGAGGTTCCTACATTAGTTGGTGAGGCATTACAGACTTGAAAGACTTTTCACTTTGGTCTTCCGGTCTTGTGAGTCGTTCGTATCCTATCATATCACTAGGACTGGGGCTTTTGACTAGATTTTTGGCCGTCTATCGAGCGTGTAGCTTGCCTCACGAGCCGGCGGTTGCCGTGCACATGGAAACTAGCTGCATATGCAAGGGAATATGTGGACGGTAATGATCGATGATGACGCGACTGGGAGGGCACAAGTGTACATGTTCCGAGTCCTCATCCACTTGTCCTATAGAACTGAGCATAAGTACCACACTTACAACTTCATGTTAGTTTTGTGCATCTTGCCTGCCACATGTTTCCACATCTCTGCGCTCTGTCTGGGGTGCTTAGATTGCATGCGCATAGGTCTCTCGGGATGCCAATTTAGTAAAATGTATGGGTCACTTGATATCATGGAAATCAGAACCCCTGCGAATGGAAAATAGATCGCTCTGGTGTCCATCTTGCTCTTGACTCATTCGCCTTCTTGCTCGCTATTGCCATCCAACTCGACCTAATTTTCCTTGCTGGGCAATTATGAAGATTCCTGTTACCTGCAGTGATGCCACGCCACCCCTTCCGGTGTACTGTGGGTTACAGTCGGATATTACTCTCCTGAGTCCCCACTTCAACTCACAGGAGTTTCATGTAGCACACGCGACTATCTCTAAAGGGATGGTTTACGTTTCTGGAAGCATTGGCTGCGACAATGAGTTTAAGCTCGTTGGGGGCCTTAAGGAACAAACGGTAAGCCTTTTATCCAAGCGGATTTCCAAGGTCAAGTCTCATATCATGCGATCGCGCTGGATAATCTTTGCTTTCATTCGTAGCGTGCAGGGATAGAGAACATGGCAAAAATCCTTAAATCAGCGGGCAGCGATCTAAGCCATTGCGTAAAGGTGAACGTGTACCTTACGAACATCCAAGAGGACTTCAAACCGATGAACGAGATTTATCTAGAGGTGCTTGCCGCTTTTGTGACAGGAAGAAAACTTAAATTCTCACGTTTTCCACATTTCGAATCACAGTACTTCAAGGAGAACCCTCCCTCGCGTACCTGTGTTGGGGTCGCAGCTCTCCCCTTGGGTGCATGCTTCGAGATTGAATGCACCGCTGAGCTTCCGTGAACAAATATAAACGGATACGGCGAAGGGTTCGTTATGTATGAGTTCAATGTATTGTCCCGCTGTCTCGCTATTGATGTTCTTCATTTATCCCTGAAGATTTGAGAACGAGGACAGTATGAGAATTTCGTGAGGCAGGCTAGACTCGGTTGTCACTGAAACACTCGTTCGTCTGAGCCAATCATCGATGAGCCGCCATCGCGCGCATTTGCATGTGATTTTGGTTTCCTTAATTTATCCACAATGATATGTGCCGTAGTTAGACCCGTCACCAGGCTACTTTTACATTGTTCGGCAGTCAGGTCGCAGTGCAAGCCCACTTTAGCTAGCTTATGCTCCGAGGTGGCATGCGGTATTGGTATTACACAAGGTAGAGCCTAAAGCACTATCATGATTTTAATGATGGGCAGGCTGAGTTTCTTTATTGTTCATCCCTGCCATCTAGTCGTAAGCGTTGAGACGATGAGAGCATAAATCTAGGAGAATCCGACGTACGTCCTGACACTATCAGCGTTGTCCTTTAGCGCACATGTGGGCTCGAACGTACTTTATCATCTGAGGAGGTCACTCAGAGGTTCACAGACCACCAGGACAATTGTCTACTACAACGTGGCGTTCATCACCGAATTCGTCCACGCCCAACCTCCCCGTTCTTATTGTCTTTGTGACTCAAGGCGACTTCGATCACGCCTTGTCGATATCGGAGATGATTTCTTCACAAAAGAGCTGGTGAGATTTGAACAAACTCACGAATGACTAAGCGAAATCCCAGCAGCATATTGTTCGCTCTTTTAGAGGATGCTGTCGCACTACAGCTATAAGACGCTTCAAGCAGACACGGCAATTCTTCCCCAGCGCAGAGGCAGCTCTTTCCTCTTACGCTATCCTGAATTCTGATCTACGCGTCCTCGCGACAGCACCATCTGTCCGTTTCTTGCGGTGAGTACTCATGACTCCAACACTAGGCGTTCGGTGCCACTGACATGCTAAATGCTACTTTGTGTGCCGTCGTCCTCGTCCCTTTCAACATCGCGGTAAAACTTAAACGCGCAGACGTAGAATATGTTTGCATACGAACCAGTCATTCAGCTATTCGATCCACCTAACACCTCTTCCTGCTGGTGGGGATATCCGCCTAAATCCCAATGTAAGCTCATTCCCTCTTCGCGCTTACTGTTGGTGTTGTTTTGACAATATTTACAGTGTGTCGCAACCACCTTAGAGGCTACTGTCCGTACGGCGCGCGCTGTTCCTACCTTCACCAGCGGCCTTACATGCAGACATCGAAGCTAGAGCCTCCGTCAATTGACAATTTCCCCATACACCACTTCGAGATGAGGAACCGGTCGATGGTTTTCGATGAACGTGTTCACGACGATACGTCCGATACGCTACCAGCCGACATCACTGCATCGGTTCTCAGACGGTATAGCGAGGATTTCTCGTCAGAATCCTCGAGCACTCCGTCCGACGACCTGCAACCTCTTGAGGAGGCTGGTCAAAATGATTTCAAGCTGGATTCAGATCATGCCTCTTATCCGCCGCCTCCTCCTGGCACTCCGACCTCCGCAGATGGTTTCCCTTTGTCTCCATTTCATGAGACGCAGTTGCATAGTCCCGCATATGCCGCTTGTAGAACAAGGTCATCGCTGGCCGATTCTTCAACGTCGAGGCGACAAAAATCTAGTGATTATCAGGGTCTCACGCGTAGGAGTATGTTTTATAAAAGTAAGTCATCCAGTATCGCTAGATGACACTCGCTGATATCTTGATAAGCGAAACCTTGTAAGTTCTATCATGCCAATGGATCATGCATCAAGGGAGACAAGTGCAACTTGTAAGACGTGCCGTGCTGATGCTGCAAATCTGGCTGACTTGTCGCACACAGTATACATGGTTCTCTTACAGAAGCACAAAGTATCGCCCATAATAAAGAAGGGCTGCCTGCGCCGAATGATTATGCTTGTTCAAGTTCCACTAGCAGCACTGAGAGCGGTGAAGCTTCAGGTCGTTCTCGGGACAATACTCCAAAAACCTCTCCCCTTGCAACAGAGAGTAATATGGCGAAGAACTTTTACCCTGTGACATGGCGGGTTATTGGTGGTGGTGTCATGATGGGAGGACAACGTCAGTGTTTCTTGATTTGTTGTAGTTCGACGCTTAAAGATACAATCTTGTTTCCAGGAGAGATGTGTCAGGATTTCATGGCAGGGCGATGTAGTGAAGGTGATGATTGCAGGTTCGCACATCCAGAAGGTTGGTCAACCTACATGTGTTACGATCTTTGGGCCATCAGCTCACTTTATTTTCAGACGACAGTACCCCCCTCTTCCCTGTGGATGGCAGATTGTCTGCGATGGCTCCAGGCCTGCCTAGTCCTTGTGCTGACGCGATGAATCCGGCTGTTGCGCGCCGATACCTTCACGATGGCGCGCTGGTAACATCTCGTCCCGTGGAATCCATGCTCTTCCCTCGTAGCCGTCCTAAATATCGTCGGAAGATTATTCCTAAGCTCGTTATCATTCCGCCTCCACGAACCATACTTTCTCCTGAAAACTACTCGGCACATCGTATCGTGGACGGTAGCAGTCTCCGTCATTATGAATCGCCAGATTCACAGGACACTCACCGAGTTGCGTCGGATAGTCCTGAAGCCGTCGCAAGGAGCTTAGTGAGGCCACTCTCGACTCCTCCTGTCACTGTTACGAGGAATATTAAGGTGCAAAGGGTAGGCGTAATACATGTCATCATGATCAGTGCATTTGCTGACATTCAATTAGCTATTTGCTGCGGAGTCGCCTTGACGCTCCGAGGAGCACTTCTAACCTAGTACCATTAGCAGCCGTTGTGAGGCATTCCAGGTGTTCTACGACGTAATATTTTCTTGTCTTTATCTTTCGACGCCGATGTTTTTCACTCATGATATTTAGCCCATCCGCAAGGGTGTGATTATGAACATGTAGTCCATTATAATCATTCGTTTCTCGTCTTTTGTATTGGTACTTAGACGAGCGTTATATTATTAGATTCTGGAATAAGATAAGATGGAATAATTTACGATCATGATTCACGGTCGAGTGCAACAGCTTGGCAACAGCTGCCAACATCTCTGATGCTGCTACTACTAATACCGCAGCTGTGCTGCCGGTCTACTTACAGCTCCTCTCATTTGCATGCCATCTACCTCGTTCGCTCCATATACTTACACATCTAAACGACAATGTCAAATGCTTCCTTGGTCGACCTCGCACTCCCTATCGCAGCCCTGCTAAAGTCAGAGACCGCTACAGTTCATGATGCCGTTGAACAGAGTCCAGGTGCTGTCTGGTTAGCTAGTGGTCAACTTGACCGAGAAGAATATATCCGCTTTTTGATGATGCTTTGGCATGTGTATGAGTAAGTCCCCATCTTCCGACGCATGCTTCAGACTGATGATCTCTTAGTACGTTGGAAGCCGCCTTGGAAAAGCACTCATCACATCCTGTGATCCAATCTACGCATAACCCGTCGTTGCTGTCTCGTGCCCCAAACATATCTGCCGACCTCAGCTATCTTCTTCATGTGGATCACTCGGCTTGGACCTCGCATCCTATGCATGTAGCACTTATGGCTTCTCCGCCCCCTGCTCTTGCGGAATATCTGGCGCGGCTGCAGCGTGCCGCAAACTCTGATGATCCATCCGCCTTGGTTGCTCATGCATATGTGCGATACCTAGGGGATCTCAGTGGTGGCCAAGAAATCCGCATGAAAATAGCCAAGGCGTATGGCCTGTCTGATGGCTGTGGAACCACCTTTTACGAATTTGCCCCCCTCGAGGGGAGTGGTCTTGCGACTCGGGGTGATATGAAGAAAATCAAAGACAGGTTTCGCCAGAGGTTGGATGCAGCGATAGGCGATGACGCAGCACTAAAACGTGAGTTCTGAGGATATTGATTAAGGCTTGATACTGAAAGCGCGCTAGTCACTATTTTACAAGAAGCAATCCTTGCTTTCGAGCTGACCGGTGGGATTTTTGCCTCTTTGAGGCCGCCATCGGTTCCTTCCAAGAACATGCAAGAGGAGGATTCGAAATTGGTGTTCTCAGCAGAACCGCAGGAGAGAACGGTTCAGATCTCCTCTGTCATCGCGGTTGTGGCAGCGATGTCCCTGGCACATTTTCTACTCGTTGTGGGGGGCTTTACTGGCGACAAGGGACTTGCAAAGCTCGAGGCAATTCGGGACTGGTTCATTCGCTAAGTAATATTGCACTACCTACCGGCTCCGTCGCTAGTGTAGGTAGTGTAGGTAGTACAGTGTGCGTCTCTGACTGTGCCCTCTGTAGAATACAAGTAGATAATATTGAATATATGTGCTCCGCTCGTGGCAGAATGTTCAAGAATGTTTGATGTCCCTCTAGCCCTCTCTAGCCTTTCTGAAGTAGTCTCAACTCGTTGGTGGTGAATACTTGAATACAAACAATTGAGTGAGCGATGAATCAGCCACCGTAGCGGCTAATATGAGATATGGCCATCAACGCCTTCAGCGCCTTGCAATCGTATGCACCTTCCTCCGTCCGCTCATTCCGATGGATTGCAACACACTTGCATCTCGTCGCAGAGTACATAGCTTATACTCTGTTTCTAGTTCCAGTCCTTCCCTACCACGAAAAATGAGAACTTCGATGATTGAAGACATCCTGCTCACTGGTCTTCCGTTCTCCAAGTTGAGGAGCTCCGCGCAGGTCGTGTTGACTTTTAAGGTGACCGCAGCACATCTTTTAGGAGATTACATGCGCATTCCTCGTGCGTGAATGCGTTAGCATTTTCCACTGGCCTCGGTCGGTGGCTAGCGAGTGGAGGAGACGGTTGGTCGCGCGTCCGACTCGTCATGAGAGGGTGGCGTTCAAGCTGGTCCATCTTAGATCATCACATACTTTTGTGGGACTTCAACGAAGAGAATGTGCAAGCACCTGCTCACAGATTTTCTGGTCATCAGGTATGTTTGTCGATCAACTGTGTTGTAATGCACTTTTCATACTGGCATCGACGCAGGCTAATGTCTTTGCTCTCGCTTTTTCTGCGACAAACCAATTTGTATATTCGTGAGCGACCCATTACCTCGGGTCCCCCGTTGTGAGCCGTTGTGAGGATTAATCTGGGGTGCATCAGAGGAGGGACAGATGATATAATCCTCAAGTATGACCTGGCCACTGCAACACCAGTGTCCACAAGTGGGTCGACATCTGCGAGTGCAACCATCCGAAACCATACAGTAGGTGTAAGGACAATCTGGTTCATGCCTACATGAACCTCATGCATCGTAGGACAGCATACGCGCGATATCTCCTCATCCAGAGCAAGATGAGGTATTTCTCAGTGCGAGGTAGGTTGTGTGACGAACACACATTCCTCTGAGCTAGTTCAATTGGTCGGCTAGTGAGGACGGTTGCATCATAATGCATGACACAAGGATCGCAAGCCAGAGCGCTTCTGCGCAGAGCACTCTACAACACGATGCAGAGTTTACCGGAGTTCAATATCACCCGACCATGCCGCATATATTTGCAACCAGCGACGACCACGGACAGCTTGTCCTTCGTGACTGCCGTATGGCCTTTGGGCCTCTATCGCGAAGGAGACAGCACGGAATTGTTCAGTCCGTACGTGGAACTGTCTCATTTGCCTCATGCGTCTCTCAGTGAATCCGGGAGCAGTATGTAACCAAACTAACCAAGCCGTCGGTCCCGTATTTGAGCAATCCCCAAATCCACAGCATTGCATTCGACAGTTCAGGCACGTTGGATGCATCTGCACTCACAAGACGTTTGGTAACCTGACCTGGCGATACTCAGGAGCAATGATTTCTGCCACGATGCTCGTAAGGCCTCCCCACAGCGCTTCTTCTCATCCTCGATGTTGATACACCGAGCCTTAGCACTACTACCCGACCATATATTCAATATCGGACCCCCACCCGATAGCTGTATGCAGCGGTCGTTCACTTCCAGATGGCTCCCCTGTCCCTCCAGGCGAACGAACGTATACCAACTCATGCACCATCAAAGTGATTTATCCCGAGGGTGATCCCACGCAGCCATTACTGATGCGCTCATTAGCACGGGTCCTTTGGAGGAGTCGGCGGCGAGCAATATTACTGCACAGGCTCTGACGATTTTCGCACATACCTATGGAAAATACCGCGTCTCGCTGCTCTGCTTGAGGGCAGGAGGGTCGTCGGCGCCATGGACTGGATTGGAGAGAAGAGTGTAGGGACGGTCGGTATGTACCACCGCGGAGTCACAGACCTCTGGGTACTCAACATTTACATTCACACAGGGTTCACCTCAGGCGCGCTGCAGCCACGATACGTGCCCACAGAGCTGTCTGTGCCTCTCTGTCGCCTTACAGGTGAGCCATCTTCCCCGCGCCGTACTCGCCACCGCCGACGCCAACGTCACCTAGGCCACCAGTCTATCGTGAACACCGCCCTGATGCACCCGCACCTCCTGCACGTCGTGACGTCCGGCATCGAGCGCGACATCCTCCTGCACAGCCCGACGCCCGTCTCGCCGTGCGCGACGGGTCTCGCGCGCACCCCCACTGACGTCCGCGCACTGCCCGAGGGCGACCGCCGGTCCCACCGACTGGTCCTGCAGGCTATGGGACTGCTGCATATGCCGGAGCCGGAGATGGACGACGAGGCAGAGTCGATCGCGCTGTTCGACGAGTGAGTTCGCGCCCGCTGTTTGTGCTGCTGGCCAGCTGACGATGATGTCAGAATTCTGCGGCGGGAGGGGGAGGGTGACGTCTTTGAATTGCGACATTGGCACAATGACCTGGAGGAAGGCACGGATACGGATGATGACAGCGTTTTGCGGATGGACGTGGATTCATGACGACCGTTTTTAGTTGGTGTGATCAGTAGGGACCCGGTGTGTTGTACTTCCCGCAGGAACATGTGTGCCTTCAGCCATTGTATATTTAAATGCCTCCGTAGTCGGATACTCAGGCTATTGTCTGAGCGTCCCAAACGGTTGGTCACATCTGGATCCGACAGGCCCACTCCGTCCTATCCGGCGTTTGATTCGTGAATTCAGACATCATGTTCGTAATTGTTCGACGTTATAGTACAGCTGTCCGGAACAAGAGCACACGATGTATATACAATAGCAATCGGCACGACACCAATACGTCCATAAGGGATCACAATATACTCTCCATCTTAGCACCCGTGTTAGACGAAAAAACAGCCGCAGGGGAACCGGGAGGTCAGTTGGTGGTGGCGTCCGTGTAGGGCGTGGTCGCAATGCCGACCTGGGCATTGGTGGTGTCGAATATGCTGTAGAACCGCTGGAGCCATCCGAAACCATCTGGATAAATATGTCAACGAATGGACGAGAGGGAAAAAAACGGACAAAAACATACTGATGAAGTCAAGGCCGGATCCGCTCGGGCTGCCGATGTCGCTGGCGATCAGGTAGATCTGACCTTCAGTTCCGCCAAGGGTGCTGTTCAATGAACGAGGCCAGATCTGGGCATTGGCGGTGAACTCAAACGTCGTTCCACCTATCAATGTTGATATATCAAGACCATGGACGGCGACAAGAGCATAATCACGGACCAATGGTAAAGTACAGCGATTGCAGCTTCTCGTACTGCTCCTCAGTGATTGTGAGCAGACCCGTCGTGCTGAGAGGAGACGCATATAGTCAGTCTCAGATTTCACGCCGGTATGTGGAAAAGCTTACTTGTCCATGGTGGCGCCAGTTGCCGTCTGGTATTTAGAGAACGCGTCGGATGCAAGCATGAGCAGGGTGGTTCCAGTGTCGACAATGCCCGCGTTGTTGGGGAGCAACGTCTCGGAAGTGCCATATGTGACCGTCTGGTTAATTCCCCAGTACATCGACGCGGGGGACGTCGTCGTGATGGGAGTATACGTGATTTCTCCCGTGTACCTGTTGAAATAATCAATACTATTTCTTTCAAGCCCACTTCTGGACATACTTAGTACTATCAGTTCCGCCAAAAGTGAGCTCGCCGTTGGCCGAGTCAGTGGCAGTCGTAGGCTCAAAAGAAATGCCAAGGACTTCTTCGCTGATGGTACCCTGCGCATACAAGTTGTCCGTGACGGTGGGGACCTCCGTGGTGTTCGAAACGGTTCCCTGAGTGAGATCGACCGGGCCGACACCAAGAATACCGTCAACACCGCTGAAGCCTTGCGTAGTGGACGCGACGCCGATGGATTGGTTCTGAATAACCAGCGCTGGGGCGATTGTGACCGTATCGGTGTCTATGGGGAGAGTTCAATCATCAATTGTGAGAGCAAAAAGGACTGCATACACTCGGTTCCGGAGAAAGAGCCAGAGCCGTAGCTCACGTTCTTTGAAGAGATGGGTGAGAGATGGCGTTGCTATTGAACATAGTGCACTTACGACGGTGTCTCCGGTGCTCTTACTAGAGCTAGTGGGGGTGTATGTCTGGTCTGCGCCAACCCAGGTGTTGGAGCTACCTATACGCATAATCAATAATTACCTATGAGGCAAGGGAAGGGACAGAGACGGACCGGTATCGATAAGAAGAGTATAGGTTGTGGCGGGAGTGCCGACACCGACGAAGGCGTTGTAGTTTACGCTCGCGTCTGTGACATTGACGCCATCGCCAGCGTCGGTAGTACCAGAACCAGTGGAACCAGTGTCGGTAGTAGCTCCGGTAGTGCGGTGGCCGTGTCGGTGCTGCTCGTGGCGTTCGTGGCGTTCGTGGCGCTCGTGCTCATGGCGACGGCGGCGAGACTCGTACAAGGCAAGGGGGCCGTGGGGGTTGATGCCCTGGAGGAGCTTCTGTGCTCTGGCCTTATCGGTGGCGATGAGCTCCTTTGCGGAGGCAAAGGTAAGGCGAGAGGAGAAGGGGAGAGAGCGGACGACGATGTGAGACATGGGGTGCTACACAGGAATGGGTGAAGATGGATGGGATGGATGGATGAGGAGCTGAGTGAGAGGAGGGGGTTTATATACATGGAGGAGGGCTGGATAAGGAATATTGGGACGAGAGACGGATTGGAAGAGACGGGGAGCGGTGGTGACATGCGTCATGGCGGAGAGAGACTGGGAAGAGGATGGTTGAGAGGGACTGGCCGGGTGAATAAGCAGCCCTTTCCCAGCTTTCGATAACACAGATGCCTGTCTGTGCTCTTGTCATGGAGATGTCCGCACACGACTGTATCATTCATTTATTCGCCTAACTGTCCCAATTTTCCGGGAAGCGTTTGCGTGAGAGTGAGACCAGTGCAGGACAGCGCAAGCCTGGGGGGGGGGATTTACGGTGGCGTCGAGGGTGGCGTTGAGTTTCCACAGGATTTTCGCGAGTGCTGCAGGCGACGGGCGTGCGCTTGGCAGAAGCCGGGCAGCGGAATCTGAATCTGGCGTCGCGTACCTGCGTCCAGATAACGCCTGCCGCATCGGCACGCGCCCATTTTGTCCATTTTGCATCCGCCGTGTCACATCGTCGCAGCAGCCTCGCCCGGTCCGCTTGCGACATCCATTGCTGCAATTATTCAATTAATCATTTCTTGTTCTTCCGCCGATCTCACCGCCTCTCTGCTCGACAAACCCAGCATCCCGTCTCGCTGTGCTGCTGCGGGTGCCCACATCACATACACTCACCTTCTTTTTTTCCCAAGTGGATATCCGCAGGCTCATCTCCTCGTCACTGCCCTTTTCCTCCCCGCGCATATACCCACATGCCTGTATGGCGCCGATAACCAACCAACTCTCTCCATCATCTCTTGGCCCACAGCCCTAGACGATTTGGCATAGCCCGGTGGCACACGCCTTCCCAGATGCTCACTCACCTTCCAGTCTCCCTTAGCCTCAGTGGTTTCTCGATGCGTCTTCTTCTAGCCTTGAGTTTTCCCATCTCCGGCGCTGTCCTTTGGCGTACCCACGCGCTCTGCCGATAAGATGCCGAGCTGGAGCCTGGCATGCTGGCGATACAGAGCCTCGTTGCAGCTTTCGATGGGCGTGGAGCACTCAGAAGCCATGATCAGAAGTTGATGACCGTCTCCCATTGCGACCCTGCCAGGGGCTCACTCGTCCACTGCTTCCATCCTTCGTCGGCCTGTGCTTGTCTTGGTCCATAAGCTCGGCTGTCGCTTCCATTGTCCCCTCACTCGGAGCTTCTTCTACCTCCGTATCTTTCTGTGTGCATAGCCTGCTGCAGGGATGCTGTAAGCACACACAACAATAACATACAATTTTGTCCAAACGATGTACATGACCCACGTACCCCGCATTCGCCCAGCTCAGCTCATGGCACCGATACGACAAGTCATGCGGACCCAGAACCTGTCCCTTTCTGATACTTCTCCTTTGACGCCTCTCGTGCCCGCCACAGCCGCAGCCTCTTCACCTTGTTCCAGATCCGTCCCTTCCTCCCATTATCCTGCATCGCGCTTCCTTCGGTCTGCGTCTCTTCCTCTCGTGCGTCCGTCTCATCTCCATTCGGCCACCTTGCATCTTCTCCTTCGCTGCCCTCTCTCTCCCTCCAGCACCCTTCTCCGCCGGCTACTCGCTCGAGCCAATCTGCCTTCGCGTCTGCATACCCATATCCCATTTTCTCTCGCACACGCACGTAAGCAAACCGCTCATCCGCCGTCCCCGCCATCGCTTCAAACACCCTCATCACATCCGCGTCTCCGCGCACGTCCATACAGCACGAACAGTAAAAGTCGGACACCCCCGTCGGCGGCGGCGCAATCACGAACCGTTGCACGCTCGCGGGCACCACACGCAACCACGCGACCTCCCCTGCGATGCTACGTCCACTCGGCAGCTCCGTCCCTTCGTCCCCAGGGAGCGCGGGTAGATCTAGCACGCGCGAGACGATTCCGCGCTCTGCACACTCTGCGTGCAGAATCTCCGTGACGCGCCTGCTGCCCCACATGTCGAGCATGGACAAGCGCAGGTGCGTGAGCCGGGGGGATAACGTGTGTATCAGATCGTGCGTCGACTTTGTGCCGTACGCGAAGCCGTGATATGCACAAGCCAGATGCAGCCGCCGCAAGCACGGTCTTAAGCCCGAGTGCCCTTCCCCCGCGTCCGCCACACCATCCACGGCATCCACAGCGGTTTCGCTGGCCACATCGACTGCCTCGTCCGACAGTGTGAGCGACACCTGCGACGGTGTGCATCGCCCGCGGATCGTGAGCTCCACCAGGCGCGGCAGGGGGACCGCGAGCAGCACGCGGATGCACGTCGCGCTGTTGAGGAAAGGGTCGAACGCGACGAACGCAAGCGTCTCGAGCGTCGGGCTCGCGTACGCGAGGATCTCCGCTTGGCACATGGGCCAGTCCTCCAGCTGCACCGCGGGCCAGCCGTCTGCTGCGTCCGCCGCGCGCCGTGTCGATAGGAAGAGGTGGTGAATCGGGCGAGGCCGCTGTCGCTGTCGCACAGGCGCCTGCAGCGCGCGCGAGCGGCGCCGCGGCCGCGCAGCTCCGGCTTTGGTAGCGCGCAGGAGGGCGGTGAACCCGCGCGCCTGGTCGAGCCCGGAGATGGCGAGAGATTGCCAGTGGAAGGGCGCAGAGACAGTGTGAATGTAGCGGGAGACGAGCGCGAGAGAGCGGCCAGTGGTACCGTCATCCGAGCATGCGAAGGAGAAGATGAGGGCATGTATCTCTGGGGGACACCTATCCATTTTCTTCGTGGTCGTTGAAGCTACGTGGGTTGTGTCGGGTCTGGGGCTGTGGCTCTCTCTTAAGTTCAACGACCAACCCGCTGTCGCGTGTCGACGGAAGCAGAGCGGTGGAGTAATCGATAATCCCGAGAGTTTGCGTGAGGATCCGAATTGATAGCACTGGATACTGATACTGTATCCCACAGTTACTTTAACTTTGAGGACGACTCGGTGCTACCGAGGGGTCAATCTACTCCTCGATGGTGTATTTCAGAGCCACTGGACATAAAATCGCGTTTAGACCGTAGAAGAGTAAACACTATGAGGAGTCAAGTTGAGCTCACCTGTCGAACTGGTACCTAAGGGCCCGTTGTACGTAGTGGCTAGCTAGTCTCGGACTCTGTAATGCTCCCACTTGCTGATGCAGTGGCTGTGAGTATCGAATCAGCTCTACTACATGAGCGCAAGTGGTGGAGGAGACAAGGATGTGGACAGCTGCAACTCCGAATCCGAGTCTAGCCGCCATAAGCCTCGAACATATACCAAGCGGTCCGGTATCATTAGCCGCCCTACTTAGCAAGCTTGTAAATGCTACATTGACTATACATCGAGCACCATTAGCACAACACATTGCGAGAGCATAAAACTACAGAATCGCTAGAATGTGGACACCATAACAATCGCCCAAAGTAGTATACTGAGCACACAGATAAGCATAAGCAAAGGCCGAGCACAGCATAGACAAAAATCAAAAGTCATCCGTGAAATAATCGGTCAGTGTCTCCTTAAACTCCCGCACCTTCATCGTCGTCACCATCAATGCGCTCTCCTTGCAGTGTGGCAGCCCGTCCGAAATACCCTGCGGCTGCATGTCCTTCTCCACCAGCGCTTTCATCGTCCCCTCTACGAGCATGAGCTTTGCCAGCACGTCCTCCCTCTGCAAGCCCGGTATGACCTCCGTACCCATCTCTAGCACGGCCTTCCAGAGCAGCCCGAACGCCTTCGTGCACCTCTGTTGGCTCGTGCATCGCACGCTGTGCGACAGCGACGGAGGCTGCGATGGGAGCGCCTCCCACATCTTGGTGAGCGCATAGTACCCGCTGAGCAACCGCACCCGCTGCTCCCGCGTCAACGAAGTCTCGCTTTCCCAGTACACCTTGCCCTTCAGCATCATCGCGTGGTACGCCAGCCCGAGCATCGGCCGCAGGTTAAGCCGCTCCCCGATCTCGATGGCAAGCGCGAGGTCTTTACCCTCACCGATCTGCCGCTTCCAGCGTGCGACGGCCAGCTCGAGGAGATCCGGCCGCTCGCAGAGCGCCGCGAGCTCGGTGATCTGCACCAGGGACGGGGCGTCGTTCGCGGACGGGGAGTGGGACAGGGTCGGCGGGCTGGTTGCGGGGATGCTGTCGAGCGCGCTCGGGCGCGAGTAGTGCATGTGCAGCGCACTGAGCACCCAGGTCTCGATCGAGCGGAATTGGTATTTGTGCGCCATCCGCGCGAGGTTGACCAGCTGGGCGCAGTTCGCGTCCGGCGAGGTGGCCAACATCAGCTCATGCGGTCTAGAATTTGCGCAGATAAGCCGGGGACGTCTGCACAGAGGCGGGGCGGACGCACAGCGCATATAATGCCCACAGCAATGCCCGGAACTCGTCGGCGGTGTCGCCCTGCAGTCGGATGGGGTTGTCGTCGCTCTCGCCCTCAGGGGCCGTCATGCTGCAGTCCGACCTTGCAGAGTCTGTCTCAGCCGTCAGCTGGAACATCGTTTCGAACGCCGATTTGTCTTTCATTAGGATAGACCTGTGGACCTGCATGCTACGTTAGTGCGTGAGTTGGCGCAAGTGGGTGTTGTCGAGGCTGCTCCGAACGCGGCGCCCAACGTACCTTGAACAGCGTGTTATCGACCAGCAAGACAGTGTTGCCATCCGAGATATAGTACATTGGGTCCTTGCTCGGTCCAGGGATCGACAGCCTGAGCATTTCATCGTGAAGGAATGAGTTGGACATAGTCATGAGTGGGCTCTCTGGCCGAAGGTGCTCGTGGTCCATGAGAGCGGTTCAACTCGGGCTTGGGCGCGCTTTCTTGTGATCCTGATCGCCGCGGCGGTAGGTCTTCGCGTCGGACACACAGTCGACCACCTTGTCGCGAAGGGAGAGCAGCGGTGACAAGGCAACGCCACTGGAGCGACGTCGTCTATATAATAAGGCCATGGCGATGGGTTTCCAGATAGGCGCGTGAGAGGCTGACTTGGCTCATTCTTGCAAGCAAGGCACCTGCAGTTGGCGCCCGCGACAAAACTTAATCGGCGATGTCGGGGACGGCACAGCACAGAAGTTGTGCGGCCATCTTTCCTCAACATAAACTATACACACTGCCATGTCAGGCCCACATCCGCGATCCATCGACCACACCAAACATATGAATTGTTCAGTGGGTGATGAGTCCGCAAGCTCGCTCACGACAGACTGAACCACCAGGATGATCTCCTGACCGTGGATGTGCAAACAACATCACGTCTTACATCTCCTGTTAATGTCAAATACTGGCTATCACGGCAACGCACATAAACAAGCTCTGACAACACGAAAAGCAGCTCAGGTGGGTCATATATAGTGTCCGACCAGGTGACTTTCAGACTGAACAGTTATCGTACAAGCAGCAATGCCAATTATCATTTTCATCGATGTCCTATCACATCGAAGGTCACATAGACAGACCTAGTACACGTAGCCCAATAGCTTGCCACCTACATTTTTCCGGCGCGCCTCCTCATGGTCGAGGATTCCAGAAGAAGTGGTCTAAAAGATAACATAAGCGACGAAACCTCACGGACACACACTAGTCGACATACTAGAATAATGATACCAAAACCACGAGCAGGAAGCAACAAGTTGACCCACGTCTCAATTTGCGAGACCTGAACATTGTATCGGGGGGAGATGACACCTGTTTTGTTCAAGCGGCCATTCAGCTGAATGACAATCTTCCCTGAGCGGTGGTCGTCGACGATTTCAAATTCGCCGATGTAGCCTGCATTAAAAAATATGATTAGTCAAATGCTAAATCAGTATTGCCAAAGAGCACAAATGTCGTCTCTACAGTGAACCCATATCCAGTACATAAAAAGGAAATGTGTTGTAAGGTTTCGAGAGACAAAGCATGTCAATATATCGGAGACTTAAAACGAGGGGCGAGTGGGATACAATACCTCGACGATCGTAGTTATACTCCGAACCAACACCGAGGAAAACGAGAATAGCATAATGCAAAATGTACATACCATGGCGCTGCATCACACTGAGGAATTTGACAATGACTTTTGAGGAGGGTCTGATGAGGACCTGGCGCTTGCCACGACGCTCCGCATTGACGATGTTGTTCTGGCAACCAGATTAACACAACTGAAGGGCATATCTAGACCACAGATGCATACCAAGCAGTCGTTCTAGACCGTATGCGTAGGGGGTTAGCATGAATCTCATATAAGGGCATGCCACATACCAAGACAGACACGCGAACCATGGTGGATTATGGGAGGCGAGCGTGAAAAATACAACAAAAAAATAGGGAGGTGAGAAAACGCTCGTCCGAGTGTCGCGCTATGGAGAGCACGAGTCAAGACGAGCAGCGAGTGCGAAGGGGCTGCAAATACCTTGCGTGTGTCGAGACCTGCCTTGAGTGAGCGCGCTAACTTTTGTGCGCGATCGCTGGCACGCCAGGAACTGTACAGCACCACGCCAGCCACCCGGAAAATGCCGGCACCGCGCACCTGTAGCCGAAACCATAGCCGTCCGTAGTTTATCGCTGTGTCCAAAGTCCCGCAAGCTCCTCAAGCCACCGCTTTCCACGACTCTTCGACTTCAAAATGGTCTGTGTTCAGGCTGAAGGTGCAGAGAAATGCGCTCACGTCACATTGTTCTCACTGTAGGGCCGCGTCCGCACCAAGACCACGAAGAGGGCTTCTCGCGTACTCATTGAGAAGTAGTAAGTGGAGTCGCCTGGTGCAGTGCATCTGAATGCAGGACGGCGTGGACGGCTTCCGTCATAATTTCCGTACTCATAGAGGCCTAACATAGCTACCCCCGCCTTACCCTCGACTTCCACACAAACAAGCGGATCATCGATGAAGTTGTGCGTTTTTCCGATCCCTAGTGAAAGCTTGCCGAAATTCGATGCTAAATGTGCCTGCAGGCCGTCGTGCCCTCAAAGCGGCTACGCAACAAGATTGCCGGCTTCACAACACACTTGATGAAGCGTATTCAACGAGGACCTGTGCGCGGTATCTCGTTCAAGCTGCAGGAGGAGGAGCGTGAGAGGAAGGATAACTACGTACCGGAGGTGTCAGCGCTTGACACAAGTGTCAACGGCCTGGAGGTTGACCCCGAAACTAAGGTGCGTACACACGGCGCTTTTGATTCTCGACTAGCGAATCAATGACTGGGTAATTTACAGGAACTACTCCACGCACTGAACTTCGACTCTGTATCCGTCAATGTCGTTGTGCCCGTCATTGCGCAGCCTGAGCGTGGCCCCCGTCGTGAGCGACGGAACGTACCGGGCGCGGGTCGTTCGTGAAGAGTTGTAGCGTGAAGCAGATATTGTAGGCTTTAGCATGATCTCAACTTCGCTCGTAAAACGCTGTCTGCTCTCTTTGTATGTGACATGCCTCATGATAGGTTTATTCTATCTCCTATGAAAACTCTCCAGCTATGCTCGCTTTTACAGGCAGCTTATGTGGCTAATATCGTTGTTGCTATGCAAATGCGACTTGTTCTCAGATCCATACTGTCTGGTAGACGTACGCATTGGACATAACTGACCACCCATCTAAATGGCTAAATACAGGTTTACATCCTAAAAGCTCTATCAGAAGTCAAAATTTTGTGGAACATATGTCGATGTCTTCATCACAATACACCCAACATCGCTCTCACCACTTCCGCACCACTTGGATTAGGCAAATCAGATTTAGAGCTAACACAACACCAGGCCACCACAAACGGAGTGTCGTTCTTGCCAAAGGCGGGCCCTTCGCACCTGCTTCGTCAATGGCTGTTACTTCCTCGTCGGTTAGAGGAGCTACCATGGCAAAGATGAGCTTTGGCCTCGTATAGGCAGCCGTTGATATGAACTCACGGAGGTCTCCAACAGCCAGATATTCTTGCATATGTTCCTTGCTGGAACTTGTTCTGTAACAACAGTGAATAGCAACACCATGTCGGCAGAGATGAGCGTACGTTACAATTACAACGCCTTTGCTCTTGACCCAAGAAAGTATAACTTGGGTCGGCGTTGCTCCAAGCCTCTTTGCGGCAGCTTCGACTGGCTTGTCTACAGGACCTCCTGGGTATGTGGTGATGGGTCTGGAGTTAAATGGCCAAGCTATTAGCCGACAACGTAATAAAAGAAGATATGATCCCACCTGAGACTGCTGTATGCCTCCACCACTACGCCGTGCTTTGCGCAGTATTCGAGAAGCCCTTTGTTCTCGGCGTAGTTGTACGGATGAAATTCTATCTTAAGTCATTATTTCATAGAGTTGGATGAGTGTTTGATCACGACAATTGTAAACTCACTTGGTTTGCTGCTGGTATTATCTTCGCGGTTTTCATGAGGTTTTGCATTTGCTCCAAATCGAAGTTGCTAACGCCGACACTCCTACAAAACAGTTAATGTGTGGAGGCCGTATGGCCAACGATAAGCGTACTTTGCCAAACCATCCTTTTTGATTACCTCAAATTCCTCCCAAGCGGCCTCTATGCCTTTCATGTGATTGGGGTTGTGAATGAGGTAAAGATCGACCTGTTTTAGCTCGAGCTATTTGGAACATATCAATCTGAAGAGGCGCCGATGAACTCAGAGCACACTAACCTTTGCTAAACTGTCCTCAAGGCTACTTCTGACGCCGGCCCGCGCAGACCACTTGGTGGTGACGAAAAAGTCGGAGCGCGCAAGGCCACTTTGGCGGATAGCCGCTGCAACACTGCTTTCGTTGGCGTAAACTGAGGGCAGGCTGCATCAGGTGTGAAACTGAAACGAGCGACGGAAACTCACACTGGGCCGTGTCGATATGCGAGAAGCCGGATTCTATGGCGCTAGAGACGTAGTCCGTGACGTCCTTGAGAGGTATGAGATGGTGTTAGCTGAGTTATGAATACTTGCGCACCTGACCCTTCCACTTCGATCCCGTTCCAAAAGCGATGGTAGGCATCTTGTGGTCATGCGTTTTGATTGCACAGTTAGTACACGCGTGAGCCCTCGACACGAAATTACTGACCTGGTTTCCATCGTTTAAAGTGACTGTACCGAAGGGCATGGTGAAAGAGGGGAGTAGGAGTGTGAGATTGAGACTGTGAGAGCTGAGCAAACGATAAGTACCGTGCCTGAGAACACCTTTGAGTTTGTCATGCCGCGGAATTGCGGAAGGCAGCACGCGATCCAATCTCGATCGTATCGCCAATGCGCTAATTCCCGAATCGTGTCGTTGTGGCGCCTTTGAACTGTTAGCTCTATATAGCTCCCTGCCCCACAGTACCTGGTTCATCCCTCCCTCTATCTCTCCACCAGTTCTCCATGGCTTCCACACCAGTGAACGCGTCCGCTGTACCTCTCGAACTGCGCAAGTCGCGGTCAACTTCCCCTGTCAGAAAACGCGCTCGAGTTGGGGCTTCCGACGACGAGCTCGACGAGGTCATCAAAGAGCTACAACCGTTCAATGATGGAGACCTCGCCCGAGACGACACATACTATTTCTCTGATGGAAGCTGTGTTCTGCGAGTGGAAAACGTCCTATTCAATGTGAGCAAGCATCCTGCCAGCTCTCTCTCTCCCTCCTGACAGCCATGCATACAGGTCCACCGAACAATGATCTCCCGGGGCTCGCCTGTTTTTGCAGCTATGTTCAAACTCCCAGCCAGCTCCGACAATCCTCTCGGGGTAGAGGGAACTTCCGATGACAACCCAGTTCACCTTACAGGTGATACCGTCACAGAGTTTAGGAATTTCTTATGGGCCCATTATGCGCTGTATGTCTCTGCCATTACAACCTTTCCCCGTTCTTATGCTCAACTATGACTTCATTGCGTAAGATTTCCAGAAGCTATGGACATAGCTGATCTGACCAAACTCATGGATATCGCCCGTGTTTCCAACAAGTACTCCTTCCGGTCTCTTGAGATTTGGGCTTTAGACGCTATCAACAATCACGTCGACTGCACACCATCACCTCTTTTCTCATCAGATCCATACGAGTTCTCTGCTGTTCATTCCAACGTCTCCATAACTCCGAGTGGCCAGCAGGTGACACGGCTCGTGACTCTGGCACAAACATGTGGCGACGAGAGATTACTGGACACCCTCACAGCCCTTCTCCGACAGCGTATGTATGCGTCTATACAATACGCATATCTCGCCATGAGCCTAGCTGACCAACTGAACCTGCGTGAACTTCGAGGAGCCGCGTACATGGAGGTGCTTCAAAAGGGTGCCATTTTCCCTGCCTTGACTACAGGAGGTCCTACGGACAACGAGGACCGGGAAGAAGAGGGTGATGATGCCCTGGATGAAAGCAGGCTCCTCGTATCGAGAGAGCAACAGCTTCGCCTCCTGTCAGGGTTCTACCGACTATCCAGCATATGGGAACAGCTGCGCAAACGTCCGCTCAAGTTTGACCATACGCCTAGCTGTAGCGCAACTTGGCATCAAAATGGATGCACGCAAAGTTGGCTGGACTTCTGGAAGGAGAAAACTCGCTGCGAGGTTGTGCTTCAGCTTGGTCTTGCCGATGTTCCGGGTCGCCTGAAAGCCGTAGGCAAAGAATTCGATCGTTGGGGTACAGCCACATACATGCACCACGATTGCAGAGTGATTGCAAGGAAGAAGATTCAGGATAAGGTAAAGGAGATCGAGAATGCCTTGCCAGAATACTTCACGGAGCAGCAGAGTGCATAACTGTATCTCGATTGATCCTGGAGGAGTTACTACACTGGATGATATACAACTGTATCATAAGTTCGTCACAGCATCACACATTAAAGATACAACTTATACTGTAATATACGGGTTATGGCTAGACACTTCTTTATCCTTGTTTTCCCGCCGTGGCATTACTTGAGTCTATACTTTGATGTGCTAAATGCAGACCAGACCCAAATCCAGTACTTCGCAACGTACCGACAGTGCTCATCCCACCACCCCAGGGCGCCGTCTGTCGCACACCAGTAGAGCGTGACATTAGGCTGAGCATAATGGAGTCGATATCGTTAGATGAAGCTTGCTGCTCTTGCGCAACGCGGGTTCCACGAAGCATCATCTGCTCAAACAAGTCGTCTTCTTCCAGTTTCTTTACACGGATCCGCAGGCTCTTCATGACGCTCTCATGTAGCACTGGTAGGATGTATTTAGTCTCCCCATGAGTCCCCCGTGGATGACATCCTCACCTTTCTCTTCCGCGGCTGTCTTTGGTTTAGGAAGCCTCGGATCCTCACGCGCAAGCTCTTCTTCAGGCCGAGGCTCATGTAGGCGCAAAAAAACTTCACATTTCTGTTCAAATTCCTGTTGATTGAGTTCTCTATCCGCTAGATCTGTGTTATCTTCGCCGTACTCCGTTCCGATTGAGCTTGTAGGCGATGCTGCGCGTAGAACAGGGGGTGCATATTGTGGTCCACCCGCATGTATGTGATGATGTGCTTGTGGCATCGTGATTTAAAAGACTTCAGCAGTGATTTGAATCGTATTCAAAATCGTATAACCGCGAGACGGCAGTACGCCTGTACAAATATTGCCAAAGAACGCGACGCGACGCGATGACAACTCTCCCACACATGCGCTTTGGGATGCTTAGTCAAGCACGCGTTCAATTTAAGACGTCGCGTCGCGTCTCTTCTCTTTACTGCACACCTCCATTCCCTCGCCCGTTCCCCCCTGAGGCTATCTTTCTTCATCGCGTACGCTTTGCCTTTACACCATCAAACGCATGGCTTTTGTATATAAGCGAAGTGCGCATTCTATTTTATCATACGCGATCCGGTTCATTGACCAACTTCGCCAGACGGGTATGTAGTTCGACGCGTTTTAACACGTTCTCCGACGTGTAGACTTACTATTTCGTCCCTGAAGTCGCAAAGAACGCGTTCAGTTCGATAAGGTACGCGTGAACGTAGCGCGTTCAAATATAAGCCTCGTTCCTCACGCGCCTACAGATCACTGCAAGAATTAGCAAGCTATGCTATGGTCTTGATAGTGAACACGTAGATCCCATTAGGTAGTCCACATTTTACATATGCTGTGATTATATTAACATTTCTGCAGTATTACCCAGAAGGTTATCGCAGGTGTATATCAAGGTGTAACAACAGTGGAGCTCGATGTAAGCCAGCTTCATCCCACAGGTTAATTATCAATATAACGGAATTTCGATTTTCCCAGAACCTTGCTGCTGAGACTGCAGCGTACCTCACCACGAAACATCCTGATTATGCTATCCTCGCGGCGCGCATAGCAGTGTCGAATTTGCATAAGGAGACGAAGAAGAATTTCTCTGCTGTCATCAGTGATTTGTATAATTATGGTATGTTATTTGGTTTTTTAAAAGCGATTGAAATAGTGATTTGTTGCTAGTCAATCCGAAGAATGGCCGTCCTGCGGGGATGATCTCAAAACAAACTTACGATGTTGTAATGGCTAATGCCGAAACACTGGACTCTGCTATCATTTATGATCGCGATTTCAACTACAACTTGTAAGTCATCTTTTCTTTATGTAGCTGTCACTGAACTTCAATTATCTAGCTTCGGTTTCAAAACCCTCGAGCGTTCTTATTTGCTCAAGCTCAACGGCCGAACAGCTGAACGTCCCCAACATCTTCTCATGCGTGTGGCTGTCGGCATTCATGGCTCGGATATCACACGTGTACTCGAGACATACCACTTGATGTCTGAACGATTCTTCACTCATGCATCGCCGACATTGTTCAACGCGGGGACCCCGAATGCGCAGCTGAGCTCCTGCTTCCTCGTGTGTATGAAAGATGACTCTATTGAGGGCATCTACGACACTTTGAAAAACTGTGCGATGATCAGCAAGACTGCTGGTGGTATTGGTCTAAGTATACATAATATTAGGGCTACTGGGTGTGTTATACTCCGAAATTCATTTCTACCCCTAATGATTTTCCAGATCATACATTGCGGGTACCAACGGCTACTCGAATGGTATTGTCCCTATGCTCCGTGCGTACGATGCAACCGCACGGTATGTGGACCAAGGTGGTAACAAGCGTCCGGGCGCGTTTGCCATATACCTGGAGCCGTGGCACGATGATATCTTCGAGTTCTTGGATCTTCGCAAGAATCACGGTAAGGAGGAAGTTCGTGCCCGGGATCTATTCTATGCGCTCTGGATTCCTGATCTTTTGTACGTATTTATGTCGTCTCTTCGAGCGTTAGCCCTGAGACCCTGAATCATAGCATGAAACGTGTCGAAGCCAACGGGAAGTGGTCGCTTTTCTGTCCTAATGAAGCACCTGGCCTGCACGAAGTATGGGGTGCAGAATTCGAGACGCTTTACGAGCGTTACGAGAGCGAAGGACGCGCTAGGAGAACGATCGACGCTCAGAAGCTGTGGTATGCTATTCTGGACGCTCAGATCGAGACAGGGAATCCTTTTATGCTCTACAAAGATGCATGTAATGGTGCGCCGCTATTAGTTCTTTTTGTATCCTGAAGCTAATGAAGCCGTTATCAGCTAAGTCTAACCAGAGGCATCTGGGAACCATCAAGTCGTCCAATCTCTGCACGGAGATTGTGGAATACTCTTCTCCTGACGAAACGGCCGTCTGTAATCTTGCTTCTGTCGCTCTCCCATCCTGCATCGAGGGTGGCCGGTATAACTTCCAGAGGCTACACGATGTTGCTAAGGTCGTAACATTCAACCTAAATCGCATCATCGAGGTCAACTACTACCCTGTTCCCGAGGCTCGCCGTTCCAATATGCGGCATCGTCCCATCGGCGTTGGCGTGAATGGCTTAGCCGATGCCTTCATGGCGCTCCGTATGCCTTTCGATTCTCCCGAGGCGCGTGAGCTGAACAAGCAGATTTTCGAAACGATTTACCATGCTGCCCTCGAAGCTAGCTGTGAGATCGCTGCCGTCGACGGTCCATATGAGACATACGAAGGAAGCCCTGCCTCGAGAGGAGAGCTGCAGTACGATATGTGGGGCGTCACGCCTTCGGACTTGTGGGATTGGGCATCGTTGAAGGACAAGATTGCGAAGCATGGCCTTCGGAATTCTTTGCTTGTTGCTCCTATGCCGACCGCATCGACCAGTCAAATCTTGGGTTACAACGAGTGCTTCGAGCCATACACCAGGTATGACTGGCTGTTTCCTGAGTATAATATCTCTGAACTGACGTATTGACTGCAGCAACATTTACACTCGCCGCGTGCTTGCCGGAGAGTTCCAAATCGTTTGTCCCTGGTTGTTGCGGGAGCTTGTGGACCGCAAGCTCTGGGACGATGAAATGAAGAATCAGATCATTGCGAACAATGGGTCCGTGCAGAACATCTCCGGTATTCCTGATGATATCAAGGCTATCTACAAGACAGTTTGGGAGATCAGCCAAAAGAAAGTTCTTGATATGGCTGCCGATCGAGGTGCCTTCATTTGTCAGAGTCAAAGTCTCAATGTCCATCTGCAGTCACCTACGACTCCGCAACTGACCAGTATGCACTTTTATGGCTGGAAGAAAGGGTTAAAGACTGGGATGTACTATCTGCGCACGCGTCCAGCCGCGCAGGCCATCCAATTCACGGTTGACCAGGGCATGCTCAAGAAGTCGCAGACAACATCTATCAAGGGCGCTGCCCCACCGCCGCCGTCTCTTAGTCCCTCAGCATCTAGCCGAGTACCCGCTACGAGCAACGCCAGTGCAACAGGTTCTCTCCTGCGCACGGTGGCCCAACAAGAAACTAGTGGGAATGTGGAACGTTCAGATTCTTTGCCTTCAGTGACGAGCTCAAGCTCGATGGATGACTCCACCGCACAAACGGCTTTGACGCCTCTCGATGAAAAGACACAAAAGGCCATAGAACAGGATCCCGAGTTCGCGGCGGCTTTGCAGAGACAGCGCGAGCGACAGCTTGAGCAGGAGAAACTCATGTGCTCATTGGAGAATAAAGAGGCATGCTTAATGTGTTCTGCATAGATGATCCGTGCATCAATTTTCTGTCCGTTTACTGTTGCACTCGTTCTCAGATTTGTTGTATTAGATTTGACTCATGTTGTACGATGTACCGGTGATGATCGTTGTAGTTTGTGCAATTTACGCCCTTGCCTTGGGTTTGTTGTAGTGCAAAAATGAACGTTCATCCAGTGGAGGTTAGTCATGATGTTTGAGCTAACTTGATGCTTGCCAGAATGAACACGTAGGACACGATTGGATGGGAAACTTATGTACATCTGATTTACTATAAAGCAAGAACAAGGGTATCCTGATGAACCATCATCAAACCTAGCAGCCCAGAAAATTGACCTACTATGTACCCGATATAATCGCACGACAAATAACCCACAGCGAGTACATGAAGGAATTCCAGCCAGTGAAGTCATCCAATCTCGTATACTCGAACCTGGATATTTATTACGAAAGAGCGCCGTCAGAGGAAGAAAAAGGTGCAGTTGCACATAATTGATGCGTGAAGTTACGTTGACCGCTGAATACCAAAACAAGAATGTTGCCTAATTAGGCTCTGCGTACCAGTAAATAGTCGTTACGCCGACAGGGAAGGTGTACGTCGCCTAGTAGCTATAAGTAAGCAGACATGTGCAATAACTCCGACAGGGAATCACATACCTGGTAGCCGCGGAACTCAATGGTCGTGGTTATGTCCTGAGGATCCCACGAGCCATTAGGGGTGTCATCCCTGGCACAACATAGCTTTAGTATCACATCAATCATTCTCAATACTGATGATCAGCTCACCAGTTGAGCACAACCAGGCTGTAACGAGGCCAGTCGGAAGAACTGACACGATTGGTGACATATGCACCAACGATGAGACCCCAATTGAGATCACCATTGACTGCTACCTCAATTCGCTGACCGAATGGCCCGCCGACATCTTTGGGAAGGATGGCCTTCGACGCCTGCGCAATGGCGTAGACTAGGATATAGCAGAATGGTTATGACACGATCTTAGGATTCAAGGAGATACGCACACTCTTGGTTATAATTGTAGGTCCCGTTACTGTTGACTGTGACAACACCCCGGCAGGGAGTACCACAGCTGTCAGTACCAGGTAATAGTGGCTGTCCAAGCCCATTAAGGACGAGGTTCCACATGGCGCCACTTTGACCCCAGTAATTCGGAGAACCAATGAAGCTTCAAAAGGTTGCTTGTCAATCGCTGCTTATGACGATGATGAGATCAACTTCACATATTGTCCATGTACCACTAGAAGAGAAATACATGAGTCAGTGTATCTGCATGAGGAAGTGACCGGAAATTCACCTTGATGTCACTCCACCAGTCGCTGCCAATCTCACCAGTGCATTCAGTGAAAAAGATGGCTTTGTCTGGATAGGCGTTGTAGAACGTCTCCTGATCACTGACACTGCCCTCGTAGCAATGGAAAGAAACACCATAGAATGCGCTTGCGGCGTCTTCCATCTGATTAAAATCGATCAGTCTTTACATCTCACTGCGGAAAGCCTGCATTACAACAACTTACGAGCTGAACGGGGTATGCGCCAGCATCATTCCAGTTGTGTTCATAGCCAATGATAATGGTATCCGAGAAACCATTATCATCCATCAGTGTGCGAAGCTGTAGACCAATAGCAGCTTCCTGCGCGGCGGAGATGAGACATGTAGGATACGTAGTGTCGCTATTCTGCGGCTCATTCTGAACCCCGATGGCCCATATAGAGAAACCCTGGGATTGGAATCCTTGCAAGCACTTGAGAAGGTAGCTGGCAACTACACACTCAAGTGAGAGACGCTCAAGAAGCTAACAGATTTGTTCATGACCAACATGTATCGGTGTACTGGGAGAGGAAGCTTCCGCCAAGCATTGTTCCGCTGTCCTTCATCCATCCAGGCTACCAAACCATATCATAAGCATACGTCTATTGTTTCACAAGCAATAACGCACGGGAGACCATGGTACAATATGGATCTTGAGAAGGTTATTGATGCCAGCGATATCCGACAGCACTTCGAATAGATAAGAAGGAGCGTTGTTGATGTCGAAACTATCAAGGGAGGTATCTCCGCTGACGTCGTCGAAGCTGTAAACTGTTTCATTTATTCAATGACGTGAACTCATTTCGCATCCAAAGGAAGACATACCGGAAGCAGAGAAATCCGAAGCACCCAAAGGGACGCGTAGATAAGAGAAACCGGCAGCATCCGCACCGTCGGTGGCTGCCAAATTTGTCAAGAATAATAAGATCAGGACAATTGCAAGCACTCACGATCGAAGAGGTAGTTCAATATGTCCCAATAGTTATCCGAGTTGGTGGACTGCAAGTGACACTATGTGTAATCCTGAGCTAACGCAAACGATTGGACGCACCTTCAACTGACTCAAAAGCTGAGCCGAGGAGTCAGCTATATATAAATAGTCATGAAGATCTTAGTTCTAGGCTTTGGGCGAATATCAACAACACGAATACGGACTTAAAGCAGCACCAAATCCGACAATATTCTGGTAGACAGTGCCGTCCGTAATAACGATGTCCGCGGAACCGGCAGTACCAGGAGTGTTCCACGGAATTGGGTTAGGGTATAGGTTGGTATAAGTGAAAAGGCCACTGCGATCCCATGTCGTTTGCCACTAAAGACCACCGTAAACAAGCAGAATAACAGAGAGGCTTTCGCACGAACTATGTCATATATTTCGGTGATCTCTTGGGCAAGAAGAGGGGAGGCGAACGTCAGGCACGCGGACAAGGCGTGGAAGAGCATATTGAGGGATAAATTAGCCCCGACAAATATTAAAGACAGGACAGCCAAGCTGCAGCAGGGACTGAAGGGAAAACTCTCGGAGAGGGGAGGCAACTTTTATACTAAGCCCGGACATGAAGCGCGTGGTCGGAGACAGAAGTAGCCTTAACCAAGCATGTTGCAATGCGGTACCGCCTGCCTAACGACCGAAAGAGCAATCTGGAATAGGACATCGGAGATCCACTGCTTGGGCGTCCGAGCGCGTTAAATATCCCTATACGAACAAGACAGATCTGTACCTTCCGCGTCATTTTGTGGTTTCCCATCTGGATCGTCTACGGAAGAGTGTCTTCTCTCGGCAGATTAGGAATGCACAGCCGTTTCATCCAGTTTCGGACATCTGCCGCACGAATGATTGTCCCTGCGTCTTACAGACTCAAGCAGCACGTAGTCACTGCATACTGGCCAATATCGAGCGCATGTGCCGTGGATACCAGGCCTAGAAGAGCCTCATCAGAAAATTGTAGGCTGCCAGCATTCATGCCGATGTGCGCCGTGAGACTGATGGTAATCTGAGTTCAGCCTTAGAACCCCAGCTGAGGCTCTGCTGGCATGGACGCGAGCGCCGCATCGAGCCATCCGGCATGGGAGCGCTGTACCCAGAAATCAGACTCTCCAACATGCTTTTGTGGCTGTCACTAGACTCCAAAGGTCCAGACCGACATATGCTGGGAGGGGGCCGCTGGAAATCAAGGATCCAAGCAAGAGATAAGCATGCCTTTCAATGCGCTACTCGTCAGAATCTGTCGGTCTGCTAGGCAAAGACACCACACCAGGAGGTGTGCAATGTGCGTGCATTTCATCAGCGCAGTGAGTCAGCCCTCGTATCTAGCAGCTGTCGTGCACCGCGCGGCGTCAGTTGACGGAACAACCTTGTACAGCCAACTAACAATTACTCACCGTAGCTAGCTGCATTTGACACTCTTCGATGAGGTCCGCAGCGGAAAGGTCCGGAGGAACTATGTTTGGGTCCATGCGAGCGAGTCGACCTGATCAATGGCGAATGGTGGTGGAAGGCTGGAAACAGGCCGAACTGAATGGAGACCTCCCGCAGCCACACCGTGAGCGGTAGGATTCCCGCGCGAGCGCGCACGCGATTCCCACGTGACCGTTCGACGCATGCCAGTCGCGGGTTCGCCTCATGCACGTACCCAACCGGCATCGCGTCCATCGCACGGCCCATTCACGCATCGACTCCCAGAGAGGTTCTTCTCATCGCGTACTCTGTTCCACCTTCTGATCATCCCGTCGTCACTACGTACAACCACATGGGCATTTATCCCAGTACCTGAGCCATACTTCTTCCGACATTTTATTTCCAAGGGTGTCTAGGCGATTGCGAAGGTATCACCGTCCACGTCGACATCCTGCAATATCGACCCAGCCCATATGTCGCATCATTCTTATCCGCAGAAGATTGGCAACTGGTGGCTTGGTGCGAACCTCGGCTCCGGGTTCTCAGGTACGTCCCCACCCTTTGCCAGTCGACGCGTCGACTAGAACCTCATCCACTTTCGCAACGCAAGGCTCGATATTTCGCGCCACAAACATCCACACCAGGCAAGAAGTCGCTATCAAGCTGCAAGATGTGGATGTCGACTGCCCCACTAACCGTTACGAGCGATCTTTCTACCCTGCCCTCCAAGGTGGCGTGGGTATGCCTACATTATGGGCATCTGGAATCGAGGGGGATTATGACTACCTTGTCATCGATCTCCTTGGTTCCAGTCTTGATTCCCTCTTCCGACGGAGTGGGCGGAGTGTCATGGACCTTCGTAGTGTGTGTTGTATCGCGATGCAAGTGGTTAGTCCCACTCTCCTTCCCGCACCAAATGGCGCTTTTCGAACCTTCGTATCTTTACTTCCTCGCCTCTGTCTGGCCTTACGCGCCATAAGATCTCCAGACTGGAATTCATGCATTCGCGCGGTATCTTGCACCGTGATATCCAACTTGGAAACTGTGTCGTCGGGCTGCCACCCAATGACCAGGTGATCTACATGATCGATTTTGGATTCTCAAAATTTTATATCGACCCTGTGACCAAGCGTCACATTCCTGATAGCAAAGTCAAGCGCGACTTCATTGGGAACTACTGGTTTAGCTCAGTCGCCGTCCATTGCAGAGGCAAGGGTTCGTCATCCGTCGCTCCGTTTGCCCGGACACGATTGAACGCTGATAACTGAACGGCTGCTTTAGTGCCGTCACGGCGGGACGACCTAGAAGCTGTGGCGCTAATGCTCATCCATCTGCTCACCCCGGGCGGCCTCAGCTGGACGCGCAACGGCGTCCCCAAGACGAATGCAGCACACGATCGTCTTATGCGAGAAAAGCGAGACGCCCAACCGGAAGATCTCTGTCGAGGGTTGCCAGCCGTCTTTGAAGAGTTTTTGAGATATTGCCGGCGGCTGAAGTTTTCAGAGTGTCCAGATTACGCACACTGGGTGAACGAATTCCGAGAGCTTGCAGTCGACAAAGGGTATCCGCGGAGTTCCCTCTTTGTTTGGCCTCCTCCAAATCCAGAGGTCAGCTTTCAAGTCACGCAGTCTGGCGTGTCGAGTGTGACATTGAAGTTGACTTTTCGTTTGTATAGCCAACAGTGCAAGTTATATCACCGACAAAACGATCAGCTCTGGCAGATAAGGATGCGGTCGAGGGTATCTTGAACAACCTCGCCAATCTTCAGATACGCGACCGCCAAGTTTTGGGCAGCCGTAAAGAGACGGCGGACGCGGACCGAGATGAGGTGAAAACCCCGGTCGGGTTCGAGGACATCATCGTCATCAGCAGCGATGACGAGAACATGGCACCGGCCGCCATGCGCCTCCCGAAAGCTGTGCAGTTAAATAAACTGGTGCGCTCAGTACCGGGAGCGACTGACAATGTTGCGCTTGCGCGAGTGGTACACGACTTCGTGACTGTACTACAAGATAGTCGATCGCGAACGCTAACGAAGGAGGGTTTTGCATTCCTCGATGCGCTATACAAGCAACTCGCCGATCCCTCGGTGTACGTTCAGCCACTGCGCACATCGAGGCCCCGAGATAGTGCCAAAGACGGCGAGCAGGTGCATCCGGAGCCACGGCAAGTTAAACAAAATAAGTTATGGAACATGCGTCGGGACGTTGCGACGGCGAAGAATAATAAGGCTCTGGCGCAGCTAGTCGCTGAGTTCGGAGCCCTGATCAATCGGAGTAATGGGCGGACGGTTACCAAGGACGCTTTCGGATTTTTGGAGGGACTATCCGGAAAACTGAGGACCATGACTTGAGACCTACGGTATACAAGTGGTCATTCATTCTGTTGTTTTACTATTTATTGTACTGTTGCACAGCAAGCGAGATCTACAGTATGCCTGAAATATCCAATAGTATGTACTGTAGTAGATGGTCCACACTCACTTTTGTCCTCCATGTCACATAAAGGTAAACATTGCATGCGTTCGTGTATTATCTGCGACAGACGGTCCTTGCTATGACCTTAGTCTGTTTCTATGTGCAGCTAGTGAATGTGGTCAGATCAAGTGTGATAGCAATCTAGTAGTAGCATCGAGCACCGTGGGAGGGGTATCAATCTGCGAAGTGATCGCCGGAAAGCAGGGAATTGGTGTAAGAAGGCTGGGTATATACTACATGGTAAGTATGTATGTGAGCTCGATTAAGTATATGCTACCACAATCTGAGTTGAACAATTCATCGATTGCAGGCATCCATTTCAAGCTGGATAGTCGCCGATCCAAGTTCAACACAAATGTGACACGGAAAAAGCAGCCGCAACACGAGTACCAGTACCACTGAGCGCTGGAGAGGAAGCTCTATTGGGTCAAGCAATTATGTCAGTTATGGTCTCGTCCCCAGACGTGTCATACCCGTCAGTTGGTTGGGTTGGTTCAAACGACGTGACTTACTCCATATTATGCATGCCTGCGGCACTACTACTGACAGTACCAAGCAGCGACACGCATCCGCACGTGTCGAAGAGTAAGCCAACTCACAGGTGCCTCTTATCACTTCTTTAGCCAATGCACCAGCTCGTTAGGGATTCGTGAACGTTGCATCCAGCGACTCCAGCCTTGGGCTCGATGTCTGTAGATCTGGATCTTTCAGTGATTCGCAAGCGTAAGCGATAGAAATCAATCATAGTGCCAGAGCTCAAGTCCTTGCAGTTGCTCCCATGTAAGCAACGCCAGCAGGAGGCAGTTGATAGACATGGATACAGAAAATATCTTCCCTATCCGATGGAGTCATAGTATATTTCTCTTTGTCTTTATATTCCCGTGAACGCAGTTGGCTGTAGGTGACCACATGATGCAGAGATGAGGAACATGGGGCCTACACTTTAGCAGTGGTACGACATAAAATATTGTCAGAGTAGCAGTCGAAACATCGCTTCGAGACTTTCGAGAGTACAACCCCACAAGGTTCACATGCCTCATCTGACGCTCACCATTCTGTTGGGAAGGGATGTTCTAAGCTGATGATACAGGAAAAATGGGACGAGTTAAAATACAGGAACGCATATCAAGCCTGGAGTAGGATCATCATGCCGTGAAGGTGAGACTCGTGACCTGCCAGACTGTCTGCCACTCAGTTGCTCGAGCGCTTGATTGAGCACAAACCGCACCATCGCTGGCTCACGGAAGGTCAAAATATGGCAAGGGACCGGACGCACATTAAATCCTCCGATGGCCCGTGTGCAAAATTTGGTCGAGGATGTTATGTAAAGTGCCGCGGAATATAAGTACCTATGCGGCACACTGCACTGTACAGGCCCAAGCTAGCGTGGGCGGGGAAGAAAGAGGCCTAATGCACTGAAATAACCGGAGATCAAGTATCGCCGCGCGAAGGGGAGTTCGCGCAAGAGGAGCATCATGACGGGAAGCAGAGCAGGACAGTTCGTAACCCTCTTGCTCATGCCACCTGTTATGCAGAGAGATCAAAGATGGAACCATCACCGCATGTTGAGTAAACAAAGTAACAACTTTGACTGTTGCGACAAGATAGGGGGGGTGCATTCTTGTACGCCAAATTTTGTGAAACGTCAGTAGGAGAGATGAACTGGTCTACACTGTGCGCCGGGCAATATTCCAGACTGAGGGCTGGAATCGGCGAGGGCACTCAAGCGAGGGCGCGACTCGCGTGAGTGTGTCTGTTGTTCGAGTGAGAAGCGCTCATGCTGGAATCTCCCCAACGGACGGTGACCGTCGGCAGGCGCCGGTGACATTCGGATCCCCAATTTATATAAACTCGACACACCGCTGGTTGCCCCTTGCCTCTCGCCTTTATTCCCATTCTCCTCGACGGCTAGGCCTCCTTCCCGTCATGGCCCACAAACCTTCTGAAGCAAGGACTACTGTCGAGCTCACTCCTTTCCCCATCCCGGATCTGAGCATCAAGGACTTGCTCTCAGCCATTCCGTGTGTTCTTTTATCGCCTTCGTGTGCATGTTCACTCATCTCATCTCCGCCATCCAGTGCCCACTGCTTCAAACGGTCCGCGCTCCGCTCTTTCAGCTACTTGTAAGTCGTATCTCAGCTATACATGAAGTTTTTTTCTGACTCCCGCTGGCAGGGCCTACGATTTGTTCTGGATCTTGACCATATACAAGCTCACGACTTTCGCTGACGCTCGCATCTCGCCTGAACACATTGTCTTGCCTAGCCCGTATCTCTATTCCTTCGCCCGTGTTGTGTTGTGGTCGTTATACGGCTTTGCAAATGGTCTCATTGCCACTGGTGTCTGGGTTATTGCTCACGAATGCGGTCATCAAGCATTTTCCGAGTCGAAGACTCTGAACAATGCCGTCGGCTGGGTCCTTCATTCTGCGTATGTAGCATTTTTCTTCCTCCTTCGACGCGTTTTGACATGTGATCGTTAATTTAGGCTCGGCGTACCTTACCATTCATGGCGCATCACGCACGCGAAGCATCATGCATCCACCGGCCACATGACTCAGGATCAGGTTTTTGTCCCCAAGACACGTTCGCAGTTGGGTCTGCCTCCCTTCGATCCTTCCGGAGAGGACCTCCTTGGTTCCAGCGTATCGGATGAGATCAAGAAGGAATTCCGTGAAGCTTTGGGTGATTCCCCTATCGGTGCAGCACTTGGTGCAGCAAGTTACCTCGTAAGGTTTTGTTATCGGCCGGCCTACGTTGTAGCCCTGAAGGTTTAATAATCTAGATCGTTGGTTGGCCCATGTACATCTCTAGGAACGCGTCGGGACAGAAAAGGTACCCGGCTGGTACCAACCGTATGTATATATCATCCTGTCATGTGTGCTACCTGACGTTTTTCGTATAGACTTCAACCCCAATGCCGCCATGTTTGCACCTCATCACCACAGTCAGATCCTTATTTCAGACTTAGGTATCGTGCTATGGTTAGCTGGCGTGATTGCGGCGATATACTATAAGGGTTTCGCGGATGTCTTCCGTGTCTACCTTGTGCCTTACCTCTGGTATGTGTCGTCCTTTTTGACCTGACCATAGGTATCAATCGAATGATTTACTCTTCCAGGGTTAACCACTGGTTGGTGTTGATCACATTCTTGCAGCACACGGATCCTCTGCTCCCCCATTACCGCGCCTCTGAATTCACGTTCACCCGTGGCGCTCTTGCAACATTGGATCGCAACTTGCTTGGCGACTGCGGCAAGATTATGGGCTGGCTCGGTGCACACTTCACGCATGGTATCTCTGAGACTCATGTTGCACACCATGTCTCGAGCAAGATCCCTCACTATAATGCGTGAGTTGTGTAATATATGACAGTGGTAGGGCATGCTAAAAACTGTTTGCAATTTGCAGGTGGGAGGCGTCGGACGCACTCCGTCGCAGGATTGCCCAGGCTGGTCTGACACCACTAAGTGGCCGTCCTGGTGGGTGGTCAGAGATGTATCGTGTGTTCAAGGAATGCAGGGTTCGTCTTCTGAGACTAAGATTGTTCATACTCCTGATATTCTGATCTCTTAGTTTGTTGAGGACGAAGGAGACATCATCTTCTACAAGAACGCGTCAGGCCTCGCACATACGCGACCGGTATTCACAGAAAACAGCGTCAGCGACTCTGGTATCGAATTCGACAAGGATGCATAGACAATTCACGTTTTGCAAGGTTCTCTTTACTATTTTCGTCGGTCCATAGAGTCTATAAGTACCCCTCAACCATTAGACTGGCTGCTCCCCATCCGATTGTAGATTGGGGGAGTGACGAGATTGTGCGTGGAGTAACACCGTGAAAACCTTTTGGATGCGATGCCTGCTGGTGCTGGTGTTGCCTGTCGTTACTGTATAGACGCGTCTTGTTAGAAGTTAACAAATATTACGAGAGTTTCACGATGTGCGCTGCGACTCATCTTCGCTGTTTACCATGGGTCTAAGATAGGTTTAGATGGTGACAATTTTGTACACGTACATAATGCTCCTTCCGAGAAATAGCGGAAACAGGGGTAGTGCCAGCACCATTGTTGCTGACTATTGCCGCCTGACACTTAGACTACTTTACCAGGAGTCCGGGGGAATAAGGACTAAGGGGAGCCTTATGTCATGTTGAGGTGGATCGAAGCCACAAGTATGCGGCGGGGAAACGGCAAAAGGAAGAGTCTACAAACACCATCGTCGGACTGGACACCGTCTGATATATGCTGTGTGGATTTTAAAATTCGCATGTGGCATACCAGTAGGGAATGTAGGAAAGAGCTCATGCGAGATACATACGTCGATCTGCCGCCAGTGTAATGGACTGACCCACCCGTCAGTGCGTGCAACGCTGTACAGAGCATTTATTCCTCATCCTCCTCAGCTTCCTCCTCCTCGTCTTCTTCGTCTTCCTCGTCCTTGGCCGCCTCCACGACGGCTGTTGCAATACGGTCCAAATCCCGCTGTCCGTCTTGGCTGATCCGACGACCACCGTTGTCTGACTGCTCGAGGACACCAATTTTCTCAAGTGACTGACAGATCTTGCGCTGCACAGACGCAGAGCAGTCTGCGTGATGCGAGGGGCGATTTCCTCGTCGGTTACGGCCACCGTGAAGTTTGGTCAGAGCGCCGATGCCGACATCTTTCCGGAGGTATATGTGTCGCGCAACTGCAGCTATAATGTGACGTATGTCCGGTTAGAAAGACCGCACAGGTTTAAGCCACTACATGGACAAAACGAGACCAACCTGCGCGGACGTAGTACCAGTCAGGGTCATATGGTGCGAGCTCCTTGAATGAGCCAGTTTTAACAATGTCGACCCAGGTGGGGACCTCGAGCTTTCCTGCTCGCTTGAGATGGGATGCGTATGCTGAGATGAAGGCTTCCGCACTGCAGCGCAGATGGAATCACAAATATCGTCCCATTGAGTCGTGCAATTCACATCAGAGCAACAAAGTACTCACCTAATGTCTCGTACACCCGGCATTTTAACGTAGAAAGAGAAATTATTTGAAAAGCGGCAGCGGCGGGCGGGACGTTAGCGGCGGTGTTGACGGATCGTAGAGTAGATTTTGAGTTCGAAGCCAGTCGTCCAGTTCTGTGCAGTTCTTCGCTTAGTCAGCTTTCCTGTCTGCTCTCTGTTTGCGGAGTTTGCTTTCGCCTCCTACGGCCTATTCGGCAATATGGGTGTCTTTTTTGCTCTGGTTCCTCTGAACAACTGAAGTTGGTACACTACTCTTTGCTGAATGCTTTGGGTGTGCTGAATCTACTGAGTCGCTGTCCTGCTGTGGTGACGAGTGTGTACCTGAGAGTCTCGAGACGGCCGCAATGGTAATCAAGTAGGAGTCTGGGAGCGGATTTCTCACACTTTCTCCATTGTCTATAGAAATTTAGGAATTCGTTACTACATACTTAACTCTTTGATGGAAGCCGCTCTCAGCAAGCTCGAAGACTATTGCATGTTATTCAATCCGTACATCTACGACCTCTCTCATCTCGTCCCTATTGATCGATTGCCCACCGAGCTACTTATCCAGATTTTCGTGGCCTCTGTCGATACCCCTGGAGACGATCTCCTTGCGCTCAAATTCGGCCGCGTTTGTCGCTATTGGCGTGATGTCGCGAATGCGTCGCCCCACGTATGGCAGTATTTACACCTCAGCGACAGACGGAGGACACAGGCCTCGCATACTCAGGCCCAGTTATGGATGTTACGATCTGGCTCACTTCCCCTTCATGTCCACGCCAATCTGGAGTCCACAGACACTCTCCTTCCTCTCCTATCACCTGTGCTACGCCAAATCGACCGCTGGCGGACATGCCATATAACCATCGGAGATCTCACGGAACATGTTGAATTTGTACCATTCGCCGCTGACAGTCCGCAAAATCGTTTGGAGGAATTACGAGTGAGGGTCAGGCCTTCAGCAATTATGTCCGGTATTTTTGACGATGACGACCACGATGTCCCCACCTTTGATAATTCGCCGTTGCAGCCTTCATCCGAATTCTGCAACATCTGCATGCGTGTCTCCTTTAGTGTCTTGCCCTCATCTTGCCACATGTCATCGCTACGTTTCACGCAACTCACAATCACCGAGTCGGACACCATCCCAAACTCAACACGTCTGCTTGACTTCTTATTAGCTTTCCCAATGCTTGAATCGCTATGTTATCATGGTCTCGCAAATGAAAGCGATTCAACGCCAAAGCATCCTCGCCCGCCCGTCGTTCCACTTTTGCATCTGCGCGTGCTACTTGTGCGGACGACCTGCGCGGTGCGCACCATTTTATCCCATATCCATGCACCTGCGCTACGGCGTCTCTGCCTGGAGCACACAAATGTTGATTATGAGGTGTCGCCGGATCCCTATGCAGATATGCACGAGGAGGGTGATAGTGATGACGAGGCGCAAGACTTTTCGCAATCCCCTTGGAGTGATCGAGGGACCGGGATGGGACTACGGACACTTTTCAAGCGGAGCAATCCTCCCTTACAAGCCCTGGAGATGGATTATGCGGACATGCGCACCAAGGACTTTCTCTGGTGCTTTGATCGCATGGATACGCTCGAAGAATTCGTTATTGTCGCCTCAGACATGTCGGACAAAGTGATCAAGGCGCTAGCTCCCTACCGGGGACACCTGTTGCGGCATTCGGGGGAGAGTGAGGACGGGATGTCCGATAATGCTCCTTTACGCGTACGACTTCCTCGACTTTGGGCCCTCGGCTTGCGGAATTGTCAGCGGTTAACTGGTGACACCATCGTTAATGTAGTGCAGAGTCGTTGCGAATATGCAGACTCCATGCCGGATGACGTTGCTCGTAGTTTGCAAGTCGTTGTGATTGCCGGTTGCCCAGAATTCCGTGCTCGTCATACCATTGCGCTCTCACCTTTGCTAGGGACTCGGTTGCGTGTATCATAGTGTGACCGTGCATACAATCACAAGTTGTTTTTGTCTTCGTATGGCAAGTCTCTGAGTGTATGCATCTCCGTCTTTGTTTCCGTGTGAAATTATTGTCCAACTTCGCATGGAGTGCATCTGCTGTACTGCTGAGCTCAGGAGGCAAGAGCGCGTGTATCTATATCACAGCTCGGCCAGGTTTAATACTATGATTGCCCGATCTGTGTCCATTTAGCGCGCGGGCCGCGGGATGTAGTAAATTGACTATTGCAGCCCTTCGCCCATGTGCGATTCACCTTCCTCTCGTTCGCTTGCAGGAATCTACTCCCCCTACAGTGCGTGTATCCTTTCAAGATGGATGCACCATACGAGATCGCGATAGTAGATGACTGTGACGCACCCCGGACCCCTTCATCTCGAAGTTCTTCTCAGGAGTCTGCGACACCCGCCGGAGTCCCCGTCCCCGAGCTGAAGGACGGTTTTTTCGGATACAACGAAGAGAAAACCTTGCATCATGTGTGTTGATCTCTAATTCAACAGGCTGCCGCTTATGTGGCACAATTATCCATACGCATTCGTATAGATCGAGGAGAAGCGCTGGGCACATCGTCGTGGTTCTGATGCTGCAACGGCGTCAAGGCCTGTCTCTGCATTGGGCTCTCCACGCTTACCTGCGGAAGCACATCTGGATAGCGGTTCCTCTTATGTGGGAAATTTTAAGCTGACAGCCATCCACGAGCCTAGTCGTCCTGTGTCGGATGGTCCTTCTGAAAATCGCTGGGCAACAGCCCAGATATACGGTATTGTTCACAGGTGGCGTGCTAATCACTGTACTAAGTGAGAGAGATATAGAACCTGCAATATCGTCCGAATTCACCTCAATTATTGATTCACTCCGGAAATGTTTGGAGCTTCGCGACAAGTACATGCTTCGTTCAGGCCAGAGGCTAGGGTTCAACCCCAAAGACCACGATGGCGTGTTCACTGGTCTTGATGAGACTATCGCGACTGTGTCTGGTGTTATTCCGGACGCAGATTACGAGTCGCATTCGCCGCCGAAAAGCCAGTTCCAACCATGGAGAATATACCCTAAGCCCCCTCCGCCTCATTGGCATTGGAAAGGCAGAAACACTGTGATTCCTAGCCAAAATCTGCTTGAGGAATCAAGTGAAGAAGAGTTTAGTTTTGAAAAATGCGAAACGCCTGGTCCGGATACCTGGCGTTTTGAGTTAGATGAAAGAGGAGTTTACCAAGTCTTCGACAAAGCAGACGGTATGTATTTGATGACGACATAATCACCGTAGCTCATATCTTCCTAAGATCACACGCCTGCATTTGATATACCAGGCATCAGAGAGTATTTCATGGATCTGGAATATGTTCTCGGGGTAATCTCTGACGGCCCGACGAAAAGCTTTGCATTTCGCAGATTAAATTATCTCGCGAGCAAGTTCACGATGTATGGTCTGCTTAACGAGACACAGGAATTGGCAGCCATGAAAGTTCGTTGACTATTTTCGGTCATCGTGAACAATTGTCTGATTCACGTCCGCTACAGAGTGTCCCTCACCGGTGGGTATTATACCCTTGAAGGATGAACATATGCTCAAAACGGCTGGTAGTGATTTCTACAATCTTCGTAAGGTTGATACACACGTCCATCATTCTAGCAGTATGAATCAGAAGCATCTTCTCCGGTTTATCAAAGCAAAAATGAAACACAGTCCTCACGTTAGATTCGTAGTTGATCAGGATGGTCTTCATAATCCCTAACATTCACATAGGATGTCGTTATTTTCCGCGATGGCAAAGAGCTAACCTTGGAAGAAGTGTTCAAATCTTTGAACCTTACGGCATACGACCTATCCATTGACACCCTGGACATGCACGCCCACCAAGACTCTTTCCACCGCTTCGATAAATTTAACCTCAAGTATAATCCGATTGGAGAGTCAAGACTGCGAGAGATTTTCCTTAAGACAGATAATTACATCGAGGGGCGATACCTGGCGGAACTCACTAAAGGTAAATTGTTAATCCCTAGGCTGAAATGTACTCACTGTACTTCTCAGAGGTTATGAACGATCTTGAGCAGAGCAAATATCAAGTAAAGATCATACGCATCCAAACGTACATCTGTATTGATTGATGGTACCTAGAACTGTGAATGGCGCGTGAGCATATATGGACGAAAAGCAGATGAATGGGACAATCTCGCAAGATGGATCGTCCACAACAAGCTATATTCTCATAACGTTCGCTGGCTTGTCCAGGTACCACGACTTTACGATGTCTATAAACAAAACGGATCGATCGACACATTCGAGGATATCGTCCAAAGTGAGTTTCATCACTGAGTTAATCTCACTGCTGACACTATTGCTTTTAAGACGTGTTCCGACCTTTATTCGAAGTGACACAAGATCCATCATCGCACCCAGAGCTTCATGTCTTCCTTCAACGCGTCGTGGGGTTCGACACTGTGGACGATGAGTCGAAGAGCGAGAGACGATTTCATAGGAAGTTCCCGTACCCTAAACTATGGAATGTAAAGGAGTCGCCACCATACTCTTATTGGTGTGTCCGTTCACCACTTTTCTGGGTCGACACTCACACTCCTATAGGGCATACTACATGTTCGCCAATATGGCTAGCCTAAACAACTGGAGGCGTGCTCGAGGCTTCAGTGCGTAGACTCGTCATATCTCATCTTCATAACACTCACTGCATTTTAATAGATACTTTCGTTTTCAGGCCGCATAGCGGAGAAGCTGGGGACACTGACCACCTAACCGCGGCCTTCCTGACAGCGCACTCCATTTCGCACGGAATCTTACTTCGTAAAGTTCCTGCGCTCCAGTACCTGTTCTATTTAAAGCAGATCGGTCTTGCCATGAGCCCTCTGAGCAATAATGCACTATTCCTTACCTACGAACGCAACCCACTTCCCGAGTTCTTCAAAGTCGGTCTCAATGTCAGTCTCAGTACTGATGATCCTCTGCAGTTCCACTTCACGAAAGTATGTAACCTATCTCGCACACCATGACTGTGCGCTTTAAAGTCCTGACCGTCGCGCACAGGAACCTCTCTTGGAGGAATACAGTGTGGCTGCACATGTGTGTACCTCCAGTTATGATTGGCTGAACCAGATGATTTATTTGCATGCTTTACCTCTTCCAGATCTATAAATTCCCTCAAAGTTCTCTCGCAGAGCTCGCGCGCAACTCTGTGATTCAAAGTGGGTTTGAGATGGAAATCAAACGTCATTGGCTCGGACAACACTGGTATCTCCCTGGAGCTGCTGGAAACGACATCCACAAGGTGTGTATATGTCATACCGCCGTACAGAAACCGCTCATCAGCGACACAGACGAACGTTCCGAATCTGAGGCTCGAATATAGGCGTCAAACTCTTGTTGAGGAGCTCAGAATGATTGGTGCCACCGGTGAGGCATTCCCACCTGATACACAGTAGCAGTTTCTGTTGGCCCCATGTATATAGTAGGATCAGAGGTATGAAATCCAATCCAGATTATTTCCTGAGCTAGCTCTCTTTCGGAGACCATTGACAGTTGACTCGAGAATGCTGTTCGGCCCAGGATCAACTCAGGGGACTGGTCCGACAGTCTTCTCTCTTGGAACAATCGACTTGTCTCTGCATTGAAAGCGTGGCCCAAGTCTTAGTGCCATAATAAAGGACTATGGAATGCCTGCCCTAACAAACTATACATTGAAAACTTGGTGGTGAAGCACACGCCGGAACGATACCTCTCGAACACTGTTTGATTTGATATGTCATTAACGAATGCAAGAATACGACAGAATACGACAGCTTTCATTACACATGCTTTCTAACTTTCAATTTCCTCCAGTCCACGAGTCCACATTTGTAGCGAGATATAGCTCACACGGCCTCACCGATACCAGACGGCAGCTCCGCAACGTAGCGATTGGTCTTTCCGCTTAGCTCTGCCTGTCGCTTGAGTGCACTTGGTGCATCGCGGGGGTCCATTAGCATCTCCACGAGTTGGATCTTATTTGCCGAAGCAAAGGTAGTGTCGTCGAGCAATGCCGACAACTCGGCCTTATTCCGGACGAGATGCGACTGGCACGTCTTGCCTTCTTCTCCACCAAGTGTGTTGAGTAGATGCGTCCATTTCCTGCGAAAGAGGGTTGAGTATCGAAGCACACGGTGCTGAAAGACCCATTTACACCCACCAGTTACTAATATCGTTATACTTCCTTTCCATCCCGTGCAGATACCGTTCAATTGTGTAACCCCGATTGTTTAGCACAAATATGATCGGCGTCACGCCGGATCGTATCATGACTGATAACTCCTGCACTGTTAATTGCCTATATTATGAGGCTCCATCAGTGCACAATTAGTCCCTCTGGCTAGTTGGAATACTCACAAACTACCATCGCCAATGAACAAAATTGTGCGCTTGTAGCCAAGATCTTGACCAGCCATTGCCACCCCAAGGGTACTGCCCACAGTCCATCCGATGGAGCCCCACAAGATCTGACTGACAAACATGGCACCCGTGGGGAACGGCACCTCGAGAACGCCAAAGCTGGACGTTCCAGTCTCCGCAACGATGATGTCTTTTTGGCGGAAGAATTGGCCCATGCGAGGCCAGAGCCACGACTGCGTGATAATATCTGTGTCCTCTGTGGGTACAGGGAACACAAAAGGCGGGACAGAGAGCTCTCTAGCATCGTCGCGGAAGGGTTGCAGGCGGGCGGTCAACTTGGGTAGTAGGCGTTTCATACCTATCCCGGGGAACTCAGCATATTGAACGGTAGTGTGATCGGAATGCAGCTGTAGGAAACGGTCAAAGGCCGTGACGATTTCACAACCTAGTAACTCGTCATACCTCGACAGTTCGACTCGCAGGGATGTGGTAGGTAAAGTTGCCGGTGTTGAAATCGCTCTTGAGCGCTCCAATAGAAAGGATGAGCTTTGCGCTCTCGACCTTCTCCTTAATGTCAGGGTGACTGATTGACCCAACATAGATCTGGCAAGGTACGTGAGCATTCCGCCTGATGCCAGTCTATAAAGGCATGGCATGACACATACACCACCATATCGCTCATACGCTTCGTCTACAGCAGTCTTACCCATTGGAGCAGCGTATACAGGGAAACCGGTTCGCTTCACGAGTTCACTGACTTCATCAATAACGTTATGTCTAATGGCACAAGCATCGACGAGGATGATGGCATCTTGTTCGGCTGTCTCGACGAGCTTAACAATTTCGTCCAGCGCGAATTCCTCGACATCCGGGTCATTCTGAGGAGGTTCTGCGTTAATGGGCGTCTTTAGACGATAGGAGGGAATGCGTTCGTATGCAAGGTCAGTCGGAACCATGAGATAAACCGGACGCGCCTGGTTAACAGAATCGCAGGTCAGACTAACCAGTGAAGATGTCAGACATAAGGAGTACCATGACAAGGCATTCAGTCAGCACGCGGTCAATTTCTGCCGCCGCGGTTTCCTTTGCTTGAAGGCTCGCGGCTGCGATGGTGAACTGAGTGGCCGCGCGATAGTATGCATCATACCTAGTTTCGCACTTGAGAGGTAGTTATAGAACAATTGAATAGCTACTTACCGCCCATCGCCGAGGGTATGGTGAAGCATCGGCTTGTTCTTCTGCTGCGAAGTACTAGGCACACCTACGATATGCACAATGGGGACATGCTCCGAGAACGCTGAACGTTGTCGCGTTATAGAGTAGGTGGTTTTTAGTTGATACTGCCTCACTCACCTCCAGCAATGCCATTCATTGCACTTAGCTCTCCGACACCAAACCTACAACACATATATGTGTCAGTTTTGTAGCTTCCATCTAGGGGGAAGAATGCGTACGTAGTGGTGAGAACGCCGAGGCTGCCTTTCTTCACGCGTGCGTAGCCATCAGCGGCATAGGCGGCGTTCAACTCGTTACTATTTGATGGCATATGGACGATCAGCCTGTGTAGGCGGATTTGGAAGCATCGCCAATAAACTGACCAATTGCCGACCCACTCAATCTTAGAGTGATCTTCCACAAAATCCTGAACACAAACGTTAGAGATGGTAAAGTCAATACTCCCAGACGGGTACTCACGAGGAAGCCTATGGCATCGCATGAGCGAAATTAAATGCACTCTATGTGATTGCTCACGCACCAAGGTTGAAATCTCCGGGTACTCCAAACATTTTCTAGACGGGAAATAAGGCAGAGAACGAAAAGCAAGGGATAAGGACGTACTGTAACACCAAGCTGAACAAGTCTTTCAACGAGATACTGACCGACAAAGATGGTCTCGCTTGACTCGGGAGCTTGTTCATGGGCTTTGATCGTAGAGAGCTCATGGCGAAGGCGGGTGACCTCTGCCTGAAGCTGAGCAACAGCGGAGGTGGTCATGATGGAATAGAATAGAGCGTCGTAGGCGATGGGGGATGGGGGAGAAAGTAAGAGACACAGAGTGCTTTATAAGAGAAGGGGAAGGGTAGGGGGAGACAAGACGCCATCCTCGCCTGGGCATGGACGGGCTGGGTGAGCCTCGCTTGGAGCCAGTCCGACAAGCCATGTCGACGTCACAGTCAACGTACCGGATGGGTCAGCCACAGGCTCAGCAATATCGCCACCCTTCCTCTCGTTGTCCGTCGCGGCTAGCGGGGGCCTGAGCTTGCCGCGACGTCATATAGCTGCGAGCACCTGAGGCCCTCGTATGCAAGTCGAAGTCCTAGCATCTGCAGCGGTGTTGCGCGCTTGCACTGGCACCGGCGCGCGCGCCGGGAGTCTGGAATCTGATCATTGAGAGCACCGTATCGCTAGCTCAAGTACTGGTATTTAGATCTGGACCGACCGTTTCCACTCGAGGCTGCTTCAATAGACATGGGTGGGCTGCCTAGATGCTCTTTACTGCAAGGTCTCACGTCTTCCACTGAGTATTGGCTCTCATCCAGACTGGGCCAGCCCTGTCGAAGTTCTTTTCCAGTCAATCAGCCCGTGCCTAAAGTTCTCACATGTTGCTTCTTGACTCGTGTTGAGCACGAGGCTATGCTCGCCGTCGCGAGCTTCAACGGCGTCAATGGCACACAGGGCCGCAGCTACTTACTGCTAGTACTTCATGATGGAAGAGGAGGATTTGTGGAGCCTATCGCTATTAGTATCAGCCGGTTGGTAGCTACTCGTAAGATGAACTCGGGTACTCGTTGATGATGCTGCAAGTTTTTACCTAGTCACATGAAATGATATATTCATTTTCTCAAATTTTCGCTGTCGGTGCCCTCCGGCACCATTCTCGCGAGTTGGGAAGATAGTGACCGTCGCTGGCCCCGAACAGACTGAAAATCTTCCGTCCGTTTTAGAGTCGCCGACAGTCATCGACGGCCCGAGGTGCCCCAGAGCTGGTCATCGAAATTCTCCATTATGTGTATAGCTAATAGTAGCTCGTCTGTTCCAGCTTGCTCAGAAGATCGAAAATGAAATTCGCGCTACGGTTTCCATGCTAGAAGTAGACGAGGCCTGCTGGTATTTATGGGTATTGCCAATCATTCATTGAGAACACATACTATCCGAGATTTGAAAATATCATGACAACTAATCTGGGAGGTGTATGCAATCCTATCAAAATTGTTTGTACAAGCCAGGCATGCTCACCATAAATATCAGCTCTTAGACACCTAAGTACATAACTTCCGCGCCACTTCCTCAATTAACTTCCTCACTTCTTTCTTCTGCACGCCTTCCTCCCCGCATCCACCTTTGAGCAACTTACCTTCGAGCGTCTGACGCGCCTGAAGAACCTCGAGCAACGGCACGAGTTGAGTCTCGTACGCGGGCGACAAGCGTAAAAAGAATGCCAATGCGGCTGTCAATCGGTGCACTAGCGCACGAACAGCCTCAGCTTCGCACTGTCCACAACATCCTTGCCATCAGACTCACCGGCTTCCTCGCTTTGCACCTCATTCGAGATCGCCTCGAGAACCGCACTCACCAGCTCGGTCTCCCAGTCACCGTCTTCCTCAATTTCACCGCCTACGCCCCTCAACTTGTCTACTCGACCCTTCTGCAGGAACGCAGCGACATTAAACGCCAAGCTCGCCGCGGCGGTGCGCACCGCTGCATCCTTATGTAGAAGACTAGATACTAGCATTCTTGTTATTTCTGAGCGCCCCCCCGACAGTGACAGCAAGCTCTTTGCTAGTGTGGTTGTAGCGAACGTATTTGAGAGCAGCCGCAAAGTGACCAGAACGCAGTTTCGCGCATCAGCCTGCGATTCATCGAGGGCCTGGACGGCTTTGCCAAGAAATATTTCCACGGGGTTGGTGAAGGAGCTCGCAGTTGCGCACCAAGACCCAATGGAATCATCTAGGACGGCTAGTCGCCAGAGATCCACGAGTGGGAAAACTTTTGCGGCTGGTAAAGTCTTCGCGATACTGCATGTCGCATCTGCCCATGTCTGTAACAGGTGAGCGCCCGCGTTCATATTCTTTGGCGGTGCAGCCTTGCTATCTGCGGCAGGAAATCGTGCCCCGAGATAGAGCGGGAAGGAGTGGGCCAACGTGTCCTTGGCAGCGATTGTCGCAGGCGATGGAGAAGCCGAAGTAATGAATTCGTCGAGCTTTGTGATAATATTATTGATAGTGGGCCTCTGCGTAAAGAGGATCGGATTTGTAGAGATCGATTCAACTGAAGGTAATGAAAGCGAAGCGTGCGTGTGCGCTGTAGAAATGAAATGTCAAACAAGCCCTCTGCTTCGCAGAAATGATACTCACGAGGGAAGGCATGATACAAGAGTAAGTCTACTTGCGTGCGGAGCTCGGTGACATTCACGCCTTTTAACTCATGCACCTGCGAACTACGTCAGTTCATGAAACGAATCATATTGTTCATGCGCTTCTGACCTTCTTCTCATCCAAGAAGAACGTGAACGTCGGTGTAGCACGGATATTATATTCAGCCCCAACTTGCCCACCAAGACCAACAGCCATGTCCACCTTAACGAACGCGATTCGATCTTGCTGACTACCATGTGTCTTTGAGTACGCTAAGTCTTCAAACGCAGGTTCAATCATACGGCATGGACCGCAAGTTGCGCTGGTGAAAAATACGACAACGGCGCGATGTGAGCGGAGCAGTGCATGGAGCGAAGAGGGATTAGTGCAAATGTGGATGGGCGCGGAAACAGTGGAAGTAGAGACTGAAGGAGGCGCGGTCAACGAAGAAGTGGATGCAGACGTATCAGATGACGTGGGTAAGAACGCCTGTGAGGTCACCGACTGTAGAAGGGAGGCGGCAAGGCCTGGATTGGGCGAGGCGGAGATCGCAGCAGCTGTAGTTTCTGGCGATGGCTGTAAAATGGGTGCAGTAGGTGCTTGACCCGGAACCGGACGGCGGAACATAGCGTCTATTGTCGGCCTCAATGCAGCACCAAATGGAGTTGAGAGAAAATCTGAAGGTAGATCTACAAGCCCATTCAGCAGGAAGGATTAAACGTTTACGACAAGCAACTCTGACCTTTTATCCAAGCCGGTATTGATCCACCTGTCAGAAATCCGACGCAGTCGTTTGTAAAGGAGTTGCAGTTGAATTCTGCAAAGACTTTGTAAGTCACAAAAGGGACAGATGTTGGTTCCTACCTAGAAGATGATACTGCCGATCACCCGCCTCAGCATAGCATTCCACCAATGATTAAACAGACTAACTTTATCTGCCGTGTAGTGCTGTCGCATTTCCACCAAGTACTCATTGAACGTGTCTTCGTCTATAGCTGTCTCTCCCATGTCCACGATCTGGAGAGGTTTTCCATGCTATATCGCATAGCCTTGACTTTTAGCAAGCCACGATCAACCGGGACACGTTTTACGTACATGAGATTTCCCTGGGCTAGCTTCTAAGATACCTTGACCGTAGAATATCTCCCGCCCAAATACTACCACAGAGGTATGCCTGTAGCACTACATGTCTCACATTTCAAGTTCAACCCTCGGCAGGGCAGATGACTCACCATATTCCGTCTAGCTGCTTCCCTGTAAGTTGCCGGGACAATTGTCGTGAGAGTCCATTGCTTAAATCATAGACATATATCTGTACAGTGTTCGACATATGGTGTTTAGCTGAATCGTGGACGGCCTCCTGTTCGGCATGAAAGCACACGGGTGCACAGTACCTCGGCCGCGATGGCCACCGTGCTGGGCGCCGGAGGACCCCGGAAAATCCCCTATGAGCCTAGATCCCTCAGACACCCATTTTCGGCGGTCGGAGTAGGCCCAAATTCGGCCTGATGGCACATATGCTCCCGGAGATTGGTCGATTTTCGGCTCTAATGGGATCAAACCTCAAAAAAAAGAAATCACAGAAAATGGGAGAAAATCGCAAAAAAATCGCAGACTACTTCTTCCATTTACCATCAATCATATTGACAATATATCTTGTGTGACTGCATAGAATATTAAAAGCACTGAATGTACAATAGAAAGTATCTAATCACAGTGCCTCAAGCTAAAGCTAGCTTGTAAACCTTGTGTCACGTGATGACTTGCTGCAACTGCCTCCTAGATCCTGTTACAGCATGAGAGGGGGGTTCTTTTTCTTTTCCTAACTATTCGTCGT